ATATTCTCGAGATAATCGCCATGTGCGCAGACCTGACGGATATCTCCAACAGCGACAAACGGCCGTGGCTGAAGTAATCCGGAACATGGCGAGAGCGCTCCATATCAAACCAACCATGGCAGCCACCTTCGCCCGCCATCACAACTTCGACCAAGTCCCCACGTACAATCACGGTAACGCCATCGCGAACCAACAGCCACCCTACGATGCCTATGCCGCGTCGCATCATCATGTCGCAGTCCGCAACGGCAACATGGCAGCCTATTGCGAGCCCACCACCGCCAACGCCCAACATGCTGCCAGTATGAACGACCACGGGCAACAGCACGATAACAGCTACTCCCCAGACGACACGCCTGGAAAGCGCGAGAGCTTTCAGCATGGCTTAGCCGGCCAACACCACGACTACAGGATCCATAGCCCTACATCCGAAGCATCCTACATCGGCATCCAGCACAATTCGGCACAAGCACCCCTAGACAATGACGCGTCCGACCGTCAGTTCGCTATGCTCCCGCCTTCCAACTCGATACATCCTTCGTGGCAATCCCTCCACGATTACGCGCAGTCGCACGCCGCCGAAAACGGATATGCGCTATCTATCAATACGACGGCGAAGAACCGGTCGCGCATCAAACTCGCCTGCGTGTGCTATGGCCAGCCGAAGAACACCCACAAACTTACGGCCGAGACGAGGGTCAGGAAGAATAGGGTCAGCTACAAGACAGGATGCAAGATGTGGATCGAGGGCAAGAAGCAGGACGACGGCACGTGGCTCTTGCGCGTGGGCGAGCCACAACACAATCACCCCGGGCGCGAGAGTGCTGGATGGGCTGTACAACGGAAGAGGACGTGGGGTGTAGTAGGAGGGCGCATCGGGGTCGGAGGCGTAACAGCGAAGGAGGAACTCGCCAAGTCGAACCTGACGCAAAATCAGGAAACCCTCGAAGACGTGGACGCGGAAGCCGACGGCGACGAAGACATACCCAGCGCATCTACCCAGGCACCGAAGAAGCCACAACATAGCCTCGAGCGTGGAGGTCTCGTGTGGAGGATCGTCGAACAAGAAATGCTACGGAAAGGCGAACCGAACCAAGGACGCGACCGAGGCGTAGGTAGGACAGTGGAGGTACTGCAGGCGAGACTACCAGGCATACACATCTTCAAGCGCGACGTCTACAATATACGAGCGCAGATAAAGAGAGCCCGGAAAGCGGCAGGCCAACAAGTGGGCGACGGCCTCAACAGCTCAGACGATGAGGCTGAAGTCGAAGCCGAAACTGATATCCATGATACCGTACACGTCAGCGCCGACACCAGCACAAACCATCCGACTCAACGAGCCGCTCCACACCCACAAACCACATACCACCACCCCACCTCCCACACCCTCAAACCGCCCGCACCCTTCCCACTCCTCCGAAAAGATTCACGCATCGACCCCACACTGGACAATCGCGGTCCGCCACCACCGAATCCTCCCGAGGCTGTCGATATAGAAGTCGATCAGCTGAGGCGGGAGAATGCAGAGCTAAGACGCATGTTGACGGAGCGGACGAAGCAGGTCAAAGAAAAGACTACGGAGTTGGCGGAGAGGGCGAAGGAGATCAAGGATAAGACCACGGAGATGGCGGCGCTGAAGAGTCAGGTTGAGCTGTTGAGTAATATGATGATGACGAGTGGGAGGGGGTTGATTGGGGGGTAGTGGATTGATGTATCGGGAGATTGAGGTGATGGGTAATGAGAAGGGTATGTACAACCCATATATTGTACGAAGAAGAGATATGAAGATATGCAAAGGTAATCAGATTTACATATATAATCGTAAACAACGAACAATCGAATAAGCTAAACAAAAAAGCCAAGAGGTATCTCAGAAAGGTATCCGTAAAAACAACCCTCCCAAAAGAAGTCCTTGCAAACTCCCAATCAACAACATCAGCGTGGTATCCAGCACCAGAAACTCCATCATAAGCTCATAGTCAACTCGTTAACCCGTCGCTCGTTTCAACGTTGTCAATGACGTGCTTTACGCCTCCTCGACCATGTCCTCGTCCTCACCCTCGGCGAGCATGTCTTGTTCTTCGCAGCTACGCTCGACCTCATCAGCGATGAATTGCTCGTACTCCTCCAAACTCTTCTGTACGTGGAGTTTGAAGCGTACGATGTCGTCGAGCATGCGCTCGATTTCTGTGTGGAGTTCTTCGCGGAGGGCGTTGGCGCGGAGTTGGAGTTGTTCGTACCTGGTGGAGATGATTAGCTTTCTGTGGTATGAAGATGAACGAGGGGAAGGGGTAAAGAACTTACTCGATGTTGACGGCCATTTCTCGTTGTACCATGAGTTGGACGCTCTCTCCCAGACCGCTACGCATGCGGCCCAGTTCTTTCTCCATGCGCTCAATCTGTGCGTCAGATTGGCTCTTTTGCGTGTTTGTTATTTCGCGGAGCTTTTCTAGCTCTTCCTCTGCTTGAGCTACGCGGTGACCGAGAGCTTCGACTTCGGCTTGCTTGTCATCCATGGCTTCTTTGATCTTGTCGAGGAGATCGTGGTTGTTCATGTCGGCTTCTAGGGCTTGGTTGCGTCGTTCGGCAATCTCCTTGCGAAGTGCGATTATGTTGGATTTGACTGTTCCACGGAGGTCCAGGTTGAGGAGATGTGCTGGCGAGTACCCTGTGCCTGCGTCGTGCAGAAGACGGTCTGATGCGTCTTGTGACGAGCCACCCATTTGTGACCCTGAGAAGTTGGGGCCATCTGTGATAGTGAGGACAAGTTCATAGTCTTGCCCCTTGGCGTTGACGGCCGTAGAAGGGATGACGCCGATCTGGTAGCCCAGATTGTTGTACCGCTCGATTGTTTGTTCGAGTTCATCCAATTTGCGAGATGCAGCGATTTCCTTCTCTGCAACCCGCTTCTTGGACTCCTCCAAGCGGACTGTCGTTGCTTGGAGAGAAGTATCAAGGCGGTCTCTTTCATTTGCCATACGGTCGATATCCGCAATGGTCATGCCTCGACCGTCAATGATAGCTTGGAGCTCTTGCTGCTCCTTCTCTGAGGCCTCAAGTTCAGCCTCAATCTCTTCAATGGACTTCTCTAGGAATGAGCAGCGGTCACTGTACTTCTTGACCTTAGCGTCCATGGAGTTGTTGTAGTTCTCAAACTTGACACGATCTTCTTCGAGGATGCGGATCTGCTCCTCCAGCTTTTGGATCCGGGGGCCGGACTTTCCTAGTTCTTCGATCTGATCCTGTAGGTATTTGTGCTCGGCCTCAAGGAGGGAGACCTGCTCGTGATGCTGGGCATTGGCGGCGTCGAACTTGGCGGCCATTGTCCGGATATGAGGCTCCATGTGCTTCTTCTGTGCCTCTTCATCGTCATCGTCGTCTTCTGCGGAAAGCCAAGTGCTGTAGGCGTCTGACAAGAAGTCAAAGATGATGCGGTCTCCAGAGACGTCGAAGCCAGCCTCAAAGCAAGCGTCGTCGTATGTACCGGCCTCATAAGCCTGCATCAGGCGTGCCAATTGCATCATCCAGTGCAGAAGACCCAAAAATGTGTACCAGTTGTTTCCACCAACAGCCGCGATCTGGGACTTCATGATCGACTTCTCAAACGGGTAGCGCATCTGCTTCAGTAGGACGGGCACCTCCTGATCGATGGACTTCTGGAAGCGATAACTGGGATCGATTCGGTTGTAGAGCCATTGGAACATGCAGTTGAAGTCTTTCTGCGTTGGCGAAGTCATGGCTTTTGCTGAGAGCACATGTTTCGACTCCATCTCGAAGTTGTTTTGGGTCAGGAATTCAAGCAGCTCCTGAGCCATGTGCTGACGGGTGCTAGCATCTTTGAGTCGGCGCGGGTCCGTCGGGGGGACGGATGGCATAGGCGCCTGTTGGAAGAAGGATTGTTTGACACCAGATTGTCCAGTTACATGCGAGGCTCGCGATTTGAACACGCTGCTCCGCCGTTGTGCGCTCTGCTCAAAGTTTGGCCCTGAAGGGGGAGCGGGTGTTTGGAATATGGAGGCGCCGGGCGCAAAACTCTTGCGCGCACTGCTTGCGCCGAAGTTGCTAGTTGAATTGCGATGTACGGACTGGAAGCCTTGCGCAAGGTCTGTTCCAGAGGATGAGCGTGGGAAGAGCGGCTGGCTCGGGCGACCCGGCGCGAGGGACATTCTACTCCCGCTCTTCGACCGGGCGTGGTTCGGAGGGAATTGGGGTTGGTTCATGTTGTTGATCGAGCTAGATCGCTTCATGGCGGAAGCGGGCATGGGAATCGCGGAGGAGTTGTTGTTTACTGGTCCTAGAGTCTGCGCGCGTGGTCAGGAGATGCGACGAGAGGGGGTCGCACACTAGACTGACCTGACGGCGCACCGAGAACATACCCGGGTCGGCCATAGTATGTGTTGTGACAATTATGCAGTGATTGTCGTCTGTTCGCGACGTCGCGGGTCAATAAGGCGGGCGGCCGAGGGGGGTAGGGCTGGTGTTGATGCACCCGTACCCGCCTATGCAATGTTTGTTGTGATCAGGGTTTCGCGCTAGCCCACCGCAGCAACGCGCCTGGTCCGCGCCACGTGGGGTACGTATCTTGCATTGTTGACGTCTGATTATCTCGAATACGAGGCAGGTGGAGGCGGTAGTAAGTTAAGAGTGTTTATTTATAGCGACCGGCGGCGAGAGATGCCATGGCCAAAGACGCACTGTCGAAGGGAACGCTAGCAGATATTGATATGTAAAGCCAGAGTAAAGGAAGGCTGCCAACCCCGTCGTCCTCCCCAGTCGCCACAAGATCTCATCTCGGACGCACTCATACGTGCCACTTCATCGCTATACTGTATCGACTGGGGTATCGTTGTGCACATGCAAGCCAAAATAATGATGCCACAAATTTTCAAAACTCCAACCTGTGGCCCGTGAAAGGTATAAACAATAAGGACATTAAACTCGAAACCCGTTAGAAATGCATCGTCAACATGCCCCCGTTGAAAGTGTGTTTTAGGCGTCTACCACCGTGTCGACTTTGGCGTGTCTGCCTTTCCTATGTTCTTGAACATGTCATCGGCGCCTAGACTCAGCGTGTCTTCGTTGACACCGAAGGAGCTCAGGCCGGGCAGGGCTGGAGGCGGTGGGCCCTTGGGCTTGGGTGGTTGCGCAGCCTGTACGGCAGGTTGAGAGACGGTACGGCCATTCGAGTAGGTTGTGGAATCCACAGTGCCTTCTGGAACAGATCCGGAGATGAATGTCTTCCTCTTGCCGAACCAGCTGCCGCTCTTCCTCCTGCTGAGACTGGGTGCTTGGCTGTTGATTGTAGCCGGCGAGCCCGGCCTCTGGTCCGACTTCAAGCTGTCGTTGGACGACAGCGTCCGAATGCCGAGGAACTTGCGGACGGATGCAGGCCGCTTACTCGAAGGGCTCGTGGGCGACATGGCGCTGGTCGCATCGCTGGTGCGGCTCTGCTGGAGGTGGCCATCAGCCGAGTCCTCTGACGCTTTGCCTGGCGGCGGCGACTCTGTCTGCGGCGGGGAGCCAGGCGACTTTGGGGTGGGATGCGACGACAGTGGGCCTTTTCCAGGCGTGGGCGGGCGAGGTGACTCGGGCGGGCTGTCGAGCGGCGCGGGTATCGACGTGCCCTCGGTCAGAGAGAAGTTGATGGGCGAAAGCGTCAGTGGCTTGAAGGAGAACTTGTTGGAGCCCATTGCAGTGTCGTGGTGGGAGACTCGTGTGGTAAATTGCGGTGGGCGATCAATAAACCCAAGGTGCGGTGGAGTGGAGGCAATTGAAGGCTGGGAGCGACGCGGCAGCAGATGAGAGAGTCTCGCAGAAGCCGCAGGCGGGTGGAAGCTCAGGAGGTGCTTTCGTGAAGCGGAGTACGGGCCAGGGATTACACGACGGTTAGCAGGGATCAGCGCCCTGCACCACCCAGAGGCGCTGCGGATACGGCGCGCCAGCCTCGACCTTCCCCAGGGACACGCCCTGCCTGCTGCCCCAGGGACAAAAAGAATAAGACGTGAGCCAAACACGCGCGCGTCAGCAACCGTCGTGCAGCGCTGCATGAATGCGTGCCTGCAGCGCGTCACCTTCGAGCTTCTAGCGCGACAATGTACCAGAGAATGCAGTGGGTCAGCCACCCGAGTCAGCGTCAAGGCATAATGCAGGAGAGCCGTGCCGGACGCGCATCGCATGTCGCCATCTGCCTCCGCATATCGATTTGATTGAGACCCTTTCTGTGATCTTCAACGGTTATCTAGACCCATATCGCTCTCGCTGCGACATGCTTCAAACACGCACTGCAGCCGTGTACCCCTCCAAAGTTTATCCGCCACATGGACGACCCCTATTGCCGTAGCTTCCGAAGCACCCTGATGTCATTGCTATGCACAACCTGATCCGGGCCACTCTTATCTTGTCTTTCGCTGATGCACCTCGTCCAATTCGGTAATCTCGTCGAGCAGTTGGCACGTCTCCTGCGGGTTCGCGATCCACGCCGTCGTACATGCCAACCGAGCCTTGAAGTCGTTCGCCCCAGCACTCAAGAACTGGTCGCCAACGTGCAATGTTTTGCTGCCCTCAATCCCGCCGAAGATCCGCTGACAGGCAAGGACACCCCAGGACTTATCGCCGATGTCGACGAATACGTCGTTTCCGCCGTTGAACGCGCAAAAAGGGAGACGCTGGCCGACCTCGGATATTTCCTAGCCACGTCAGCACTGCAAGCATCGCACATGGTCTCAAACCTACGAGTATCTTCTGCACAATCAAAACGGTCTCTTCGAGTGTCTCTCGACAGAACTTGTGCCCGTCCTTTGGTACAATACCAACCGCTCTTTCCTTCCGGACGACATTTGCCTCCATGCGGAAGTTTTTGACAGTGTCTCGCAGAGAAACTTCCGCCAAGTCAAGCAGGTCCTTGATGTCCGACTCAGTCCACGAAAGCATCTCCTTAAGCAGCCATTCTTCTCGGGGAATCAGGCGCAGTAGAACTGGACTGTTCTCGTCAAACTTGAAACAGAAGTTACTTTCACCGCCCATGATGATCAGATTCTGTCGAGCCTCTAGGGGCAGATCGGATGCCTGGATGGCGTCTAGGAGCCCGTACAGTCTGCCATAGTATGGCTTCGCCTCTGTGTACCCTGCGGCTGTGACAATGCCAATCTTTGATCCACGACGCATGAGCTGCAGGATCTTGGGAATGATCGGGTTGTCTTCTGTCAAGTCTTTGCCGTCGTCATACAAGGTGACATCTCCGTCAAACGTCACGAGTTCGAGTGGACCGTTGCGGATGAGACTCATTACTTGGGCTGTGTTGAGAACTAGACGCACATCGTTGAAAGAAGGGGGGACGAAACGTCGATGGCTGATGAAGCGCCGCTGATCTTGCCAGATGAAAGCGTCATGCAATGCTAAGGACGTGAAGAAGTTCGCTACTGTTGGAACGAGAAGCTTCAACTTTGATCTGTCGGGTTTGCCGTCTTTCTGGTGTTGGACTAAGTTGCGTTAGCCCTGCGATTTCACCGTAGACCACCCGGACTCGCACGGCTTCAATGGGTTCATGACATACTGTGGTCGTTGATGATCTCTTCAACGTCGCGTAGGATCTCGGCATACCGCCGTTGAGCGATGTTGGCTTGGTGCTCGACTGACTCATCGCTGGGCTCGAATACCGCTGTTGGATGGGAGTGTAAGACGAAAGGCACAGCTAGGAGACCCTGAGGTAGTATAAGTACGTAGCTCGCATTCTTCAGCAAGCAGGAAGAACATTACCTTGATCCACTCTATCTGTATCGTGCGTTAGCTAGGCATTCTGGATCGGGTGTCACAGGATACTTACGAGCTGGTCTCTCCTGTGGGTCTTTCCGGATATGTCAGCTATTTGAAGGTAGATGGTTGTCACTGTAACTTGTACACACCTTGAGGGCATCTGCCACACGGGAAGCCATCAAGTTAGCATGCTTGTCGCTAAGTCGACCTTTGGGGATTGTAGTCGTGGTTGGGACTTACATTCTACGCGGTATCTGGTAGTCATCTTGCAAAGTCTCAATCGGTGAAGGAGGAATGAGGAGAAGTGAAGGACACTGTGACTGAGTTGTCACTGTAACCTAAGCTGTCTGTCCAAGCTTATCGGAGACCGCCGTTAGTGGCTGGAGAGGGAAGGGGCCATGCACATGTGACCCGGTGACATCCCCGCGCGACGGTACACTAACACCTGTAAGCTGCTTTTTCCCCCTCTCCAAAGCTACAGCTACCTTGCTTTTGATCCACGAATGCGCGTGCAACGTGTGCCATTCGTGGGTTGCATGGGTGAAGCCGCAATCGATAAGCGGCGATCTGCAACGGCCGCTACTGGGGGACGGCTTTTATGCAAGGGCCCACCGTGTCGGACAAACCACAGGAACCCAGCCAGCTTCGCCCAAGCTACCCGGCCGCCTCCAGAGTCGCAGTGAAGATGGACTCGTCGTTGAACAACGTGGCCCTGCGCCCATGGCCGGCCCCAAAGAAGGAGGAGCTGACGCAGGATGACCTGCTGTTCAAGATCGAGCAGCTAGCGAGCGAACGCGGGCATTTGCGCAACATCACCGAACAGTCGCTACAGGAGGACATCGACGCAGGCAAAGATGTACCGGACGATGCCGCAGAAGGAGCCGATAAGGACAAGAAGGAAAAGGAGGTGCCTTCCCGGCAGGAACAGCTAGAGAAGGTGTTCAAAGCCGGGCAGGAGATGTATAGTCATCTGGAGTACGTCTGAACGCGAACGCGTTGTATGGGGGTTCATACTGACCAAAGGCAGATGGGCTAAATTTGCTGCTACCAACGCGCTCGATCTCGTCTCCCTCATCCTCTCCCAAGACCCAAACAAACGCGCCCTCAACTTCTTCAGTCCGACGTTTCGAGAGCAAGGCCTGAACCAGGGCATACCACTCGGCTCTTTTGGCATGAGCAAGGAGAACCACGAACATCGCACTCGCAAGCCAGATGAAGCCCAACGACTTCAAGATCTCGCGTCCAAACAAGAAATAGCTGCTCAGGGAGCACGCATGGGGGCGCTCGACTCTTCGGTAGACGAGATATTGAAGGCCGCGAAGCACTTGGAGAAGGAGATACGTCGAGAGACGAAGTACTGGCATGAAATAGTGTCCGTCTCCGACAAGGGGTGGCCCATCCAGCGACTGCGCCAGAATGTACGCCATTCGCCCTTTGCCGTGCGTTATGGACTCCCCGAAGGTAAGGCCTGCTCATTCGTCGCGTCGCTTTCCTTAAGCTAACAATGCATTAGCAAGTGGTCATTTCAAGGCGCGTGGCTTTGCCCCTCTTCAGATGGACAAGGACGGCAGCATCATTCTCGATCCGAGTCTCGCGCTCAAACCGAAGACATTCCGGGTGCGAATCAGTGTCGACGGCAAGATGACAGGCACATCACAACTCCCTCTCGATGGCGAAAACTCGGCTCAGTCTCTGGAAAAGTCTATACAACTTGCCCGTGATTCATTACTAGAGGAAGAGCTGTACTATGAAATGAGTCTCGAGACTCGGCAACTGCGAGCCTACGGTGTCGAATTTCGGGATTCTGTCATTCAGATAGACGTGCCTAGCATGGGCAATGCTTCGCAAGATCGAAAGCTGCTCATCGATTGTATACCCCGGGACGACCCTATAGCGAGCAACCAAGGGCACGAGTACGATTGGCTGGCTCGCAACATCGCCGAGGCGCTCCGACTGCTCCTAGCTCATGAGCATAGCATGCGTCTCTATAGGAGATCGCAGCTTCCACCTCCCTTGACAAGCCAAAAGCGGGATAAGCCTCCTCCACCTTTACTGCGTACGCTTCTTGCGGTATCGAATCACATTGCAGGTGTCGACTCGCTTTACGTCTATCTTGGTCTCGTCGCCAAAACACTGAACAACGCAGGCCTTGATGCGAGCCTGGATACCACGCGTGAGACGTCTTGGGCGAACCTTTCAGAGAGTTTGAAGACGACGCCGAAGAAGGGCATGTCCGCAACCGATCAGCTGCTTGAAATTTTCATGAAGCCGTTCGATGGAAAAGCGACTTTGACCATACCCACGCCAAATGGCACACAGCCAGAGAGTCTGGTCGTCGTTACACGCACAATCATCGGTCAACCAACGTTTGGCACAGAGCACAAGCTGACCCTTCCATCCACTCTGAGTTCCGATCTTGGCTTGTTCCAGCAGCATAAATTTGCTACCGTCGAGGAGCTGAAGTCATATCTAGACTGGATTCTGTCCCTACATATTGCGCATAGACTTTTGAAGAGTGAGTATGCCTCACGCGCGCAGACGAGAACTCAGAATCCACGGCTCTCGATTCGTCAAAGCAAGGAAACCAAGAAAGGCACCAAGTCTACAAGGGACATCAGAGTCAACTTCAATGACGGGGAGCTAAAGGTAACTGTGCTGGCGGTTGATGCAACATCGGAAGCAGAAGACGCTGAGCACTCGCATACTTGGAGCGAAACAGGCGACAATGCTACTCTGAAAGAAGTCATCAAAGAGTGGGTTGGTTAGACAACGTGGGGAGAAAAAGTAGTAAATGTACACCCGTAAGGAATCATATCAGATCAGGCGGAACTGTTACCATCTGCAACGTGCATTACATAGCGCCAATATCGTTGCATCACACTTGCACCCAGCAAAAGCGGGGTGAGCCGGCGACAAACTTGGCCACAAGCGGATAGCTTCCCTACGTGCAGCCTCAAATCCACATCAGATCGTCCCGAGGTCAATAGCTCCTCGATTTTATCCTGGTACCTGACATGTTCATGACGTTGAAGACTAAGAATGCCGAGCCGCAAACTGACGTCCAGGTACCTGTGAGGTAATGTTTACAGTTCGCGCTTGCAAATCGAAGCTATATAAACTGTGATGTTAAACATCATGCTGCCCTCTTTGGTATCCGCCATTAATTGTTGTTGCGTCCAACATGCTATCTCTTTCAGTATTGACGTTGAGCGCTCTGCTTCCTGCGCTATCCAGCGCACAACGCATTCGTTCTGACCCCGGTGTTGCCGGCCCACCTCTTGAAATCGTTCATCTCTACAACGATCAATGGCCTACCGGTACCAACACGCCGTACCAGACTCACGAATGCATAACGACTAACATCGGTCACAGGTATCACCGTCTCCAAAGGCGGCCGTAAATTCTCAAACTACCCAGCAGGTCTTGATCCCAACAACACCAACACCGGCACCAACAACAGACATGCCGTAGCAGAGCTCACCTCCAACGGCACCGAAACACCGTATCCAAGTGTAGAAATCAACAACCCACCAAATGGAGCCATCAATTACACGACGACCCCACCAACAGGTGCAAACTACCAAAACTACCTCATCGGCGTTCAAAGCGTCGTCCTCGACCCCCAAGACAGACTCTGGATCCTAGATACAGGCCGCGCATTAACCGAAGAAGGCACCCTCGTTCTGGCATCCACAGGCGGCCCCAAACTCGTTGGCGTAGACATTGAATCCGACACGGTGATTCAAACCATTGTTTTCCCACCCACAGTCGCATACCCAGACTCGTACCTCAACGACGTACGCTTCGACCTACGCCCTCACATCACCGATTCCGGAAAGGGTGTAGCATACATCACCGACTCCTCATCCGAGGGCCGTAATGGAATCGTCATTGTAGACCTAGGCACAGGCGAAAGCTGGCGCCACCTCGACGGCGCACAAGAGTCGCGAGCAGAGCGCGGATTCGTGCCATACGTCTGGGGAGAACCGAAATACTACATCCCTGGTCCTGGTCTACCCCTTACCACAGTCCCGCTGGGAAGCGATGGTATCGCCTTGTCCGCTGATGGAGAGCACTTGTACTTTGGCCCTGTTGGTGGTCGCACTCTTTACAGTATTCCCACTGAGCGTCTGCGGGACCGCGGTCAATCGTCTGAGCTACTGGCGCTGGGTGCGGTGAACAACCGGGGTGAGAGGGGTGTGAGTGATGGGTTTGAGACGGATACGAATGGCTTCATCTATGCGGGCAATATGGAACAGAATGAGATTGGGTTCCATAACCCGAAGAATGCGTCTATGACGTTGTTTGTGAGGGACCCGAGGATCAGCTGGGTGGATACTAGTAAGTCTTCCTTTTACTGTGCTGGTCGTGTTTGAATGAAGACTGACGTTTTGTAGTGTCCGTCGGAAGCGATGGCTATCTTTACTTCACTGATAACCAGCTGGCCTTTAGCTCGTCGTTCTATCCTGGTACGGACAACAGAGAGAGACCGTTCGTGTTGTTCAGGGCACCTTTGCCTAACAACGGATCGAGGGTGTTCTTGCAGTAAAGGCTTGGTGGACAGTGCTATAGTCTCACGGTCCGACAAATGGACGTATGTACATATATCATGGAACGTATACAGCTTTGAGCTTTACAAAATCTACGTCTTACCAAACACGAAAATCCCCTTGCCGTCCCTGTAGCCCTCCAGAGTATCCTTGACCTTGCCTATCAACTCGTCGCCCTTGGTATCCCACTCCCACTTGATCTCATCGACAGGCATGTCTCTGAACTCGCCCTTGCGTGTCATATCTAGTACATCGGCGACTGTCTTCTGCTTCTCCTCAGGATGCTTCTCCGCCCACCTGCTTACCCAAAAGCCGTGGAAGTGAATGTCCTTGAAGATGAGCATCGACGCGGGAATGGTCAATGGCTGCTTCGACATAGCACCGTAGGTAACGAAGTGCGAAGAGGAAGAAAGCAGTTTGGCCATTGCTGTAGCGGCCTTTCCGTTTACACAGTTCAATGCCAAGCGGATGGGAGCGCGACCGCCATTCGTCCATTCTTTGGCCTGGTCCTTGATGCCCTGCGATTGTAATTCTGCGTCAGTGATGACGACGTCTGCGCCCAGCTCTTGAAGTTCCTTCTTCATGGCTTCTTCTTTGCTCTTGTCTTCCCGACTACGAATCACGTTGATGCTCTTGTAACCCCACTTCTTGCCTAGTTGGATGGCGGCACGTCCAACACCTGAGTTTGCTCCATTCTGTATGAACCACTCGCCTTCCGAGAGGGTTGTGAAGTCGCGAAGCATGCGGTATGCTGTGCATGGGTTTATGGATACGGTGCCGGCTTGAATCGCGGTTATGCCTTCGCGCATCTGGTCGTCGAGCTTGACCACGTCGTTCGTGGTGGCGCTTGCGTGTGTTCGCCATGTACCGAAGCCAGGCCCTTTCATGAAGACCCAGTCGCCCTTCTTGAAGCCTTCCTTCTTGACTCCTTCGCCCAATGCTATTATCTCCGCCACTCCTTCATTTCCAGCGACAGCAATCGGGTTGGGCGTGCCTAGGTTGGTGGTGAAGGTCGGCTTCGAAGGGTATACGCCTTGGATCTGGTTGATATCGGCGGGATTGATGGGCGACGCAAGGAAGCGCAATGTCATGAAGTTGCTATGCGGCGGCGAGATGGAATGACCGTGCAGAGAGAGCACAGCGGGAGGCTCTCCATATTCGGAGAATGTGAGGGCTTTGGCTTGCTCGTAGCCGTATGCGGAGATGTAGCGGCGCTGCGGAAGTCGCGATACGGCCGGGGCTAGGTGTCGTGTGCGGCGCAGACATGACTGCGCTAATCGCGGAGACGGCGAAATGAGTTTGGTAGCCATTGTGAGTGGCGTAGACACTATGAAAGTGATGTGGATTGGAAGCCTGTGGAGCTCATGGAAGATGTTTTGGAAAGACGGAGCTATGACGTTTGCTAAAGCCGAGGTTTGGTGGAGCAATGGAGCTCATAACACGCATCACTTTCGACACAGTACATACAGTGCATGCCTGTAACAATTCTTGATGCGCGAATGTTTTGACGGGATGAATGCACATTCTACGGAATTGGTGACGCGAGTTCCGCGTTTCGCCCTCAGCCCAAGCCTCCAGATGCCAGATGGTGCTCTGATCCACTGTTTCTCATAAGCTCGCAAGAATCATCGCATAGGGCGACGATGCGCCACAGCCTGCGCCATAAACTACGTACGAAGAAGCAATGGTAGACATTCACATGCAAGACGGCCCAAGAGGCGCTTCGTGAAGGTTCCCGCCAGCTGTGGGCATCTAGACGCCACTAGCACCGCCCCGCGTACGTCATCGGCCATGCGTGTTGCTAGGCTGCGCCCTCCTTGAACTGGCAGGTTGCTGCATACCCCTCTTGCTACAAATAGACCCTTTCGCCAACACACCCTGTCCACTGCATCACTCAAAGACTCACAACATCCCTCAGCCACTATACCACTACATTCAAATCCCTTCCAAAACACCTCACACACATATCAACATGGCTGCCACCGTCAACGTCGAGAACATCTCCACCAAGACTAGCGAGGATGAGATCAAGAGCTTCTTCTCCTTCTGCGGAAAGATCCAGTCGCTCAGCGTAAAGCCCTCAGGCGACGACACCCAGTCTGCCTCGGTCACCTTCGAGAAGGCCGCCGCCGCAAAGACCGCCCTCCTCCTCGACAACACACAGCTCGGCCACAACTCGGTCCAAGTCACGTCCGCTAAGAGCATCGACGAGATTGCCGGCGAGAAGTCTGCCTCTGCCGACGACGCCAAGGACGGCGACCACCACATCGAGCAGGAGCAGAAGCCCCGCGCACGCATCATCGCCGAGTACCTCGCCCACGGCTATGCCATCTCCGATACCGCCATCGAGAAGGCCCTCGCCGCAGACAAGCAGAACGGCTACAGCACCAAGTTCATGAACGTCCTCAACAACTTCGACCAGAAGACTCAGGCTACACAGAAGGCGCAGGTCGTCGACCAGAAGCTGGGCATAACAAACAAGGGCTACGCTGCCTTCAACATGATGACCAGCTACTTCGACAAGGCTGCCTCCACACCCACCGGACAGAAGCTCCGTGCTTTCTACGAGCAGGGTAACAAGACTGTCATGGACGTCCACAACGAGGCTAGGCATTTGGCCGACCTTAAGAAGCAGAAGCCTGCCAGCGAGGGTGGTGTTGCTGCTGAGAGCAGCGAGAAGCCCGCCGAGGGTAGCAACGAGAAGAGCGGCGAGTCCTACGCTGCCGCTGCTGCCCCCACCTCCTAGATACGAACACCTTAAGTGCTCACGGCGGAGGACTGGAACGACATTTCTTTCGATTCAACGATTCCCACTTGGTTTACAGTCTGTATGAATACTTGCGCATGATACCGATGACGGCACGAGCACGGAGTTTGGAATAAGACGGTTTAGCAGCCTACGAAAACACAATTCTATCTAGTAACCATTGATCTTGAACACTGTATTATCGAGTAGTGATGGTGCTCTATTACGATCTTTTCTCAAACAGCGATATAAACAAGCATGCAGAAAACACAAAGACCAAAGGCAATGTTCCTCGTATCCCTCTAATATCCCCACTCGCCACTATCCAACAAGCTCTGACTGGCCACAAAGCTGAAACCCCCAAAAGGATTGCTAGAAGCCTGACTCTCGAACATCAAGTCGTCAAACTTCTTCGTCAGAACAGGACTCAGTGGCAGATCAGTGAAGTCCTGGGCAAAGTTCTCCGCCAACTCCGGATCCGTGATGAGTGGCTGGATCGGCGGCTCCAACTCCCTCGCTTCCAACTTCTTCCAATCGACCTTGCGGAAGAACCGGTGTTTCTTGATATTCGGCAGATCCTTGGCCATGTTGAAGCCTAGCCGCTTCTTGGGATCTTTGCGGAGGAGGCGAGTGAGGAGATCCTTAGCGTCGGCGCTGAGGTAGTAGGGCAGTGCGAGCTTCTGCTTGACGATTTTTTCCTGGATCTTGGCGTTGTTGTTACCAGTGAAGGGAGGAGCGCCAGTGAGTAGATCGAAGCCAAGCGCGCCCAGAGACCACCAGTCGACTGCTGCGCCGTATTCATGACCTTGAACAACCTCCGGAGCCATGTATTCTACGGTACCGAGGATGGAGCGGCAGGGGCTGTCTTCGTCAAGACTGACTTTGCTGAGGCCAAAGTCGGTAAGGAGCAGGTGGCCCTCGGAGTCTAGGAGGCAGTTTTCGGGCTTGAGGTCGCGGTAGATGACGCCGACTGTGCGGTGAAGGTGGTCGAGCGCAAGCACCATTTCGGCCATGTAGAAGGCGGCTACGTCCTCGGAGAACATGCGCTCAGCTGCGAGGTGGTGGAACAGCTCGCCGCCTTGGGCATACTCCAGAATGAGGTACAGCTTCTCTTGGTCCTGGAAGGCGTAGTAGAAGTTGACGATGAAAGGGTGTCGGTTCACACTCTCGAGCACATTGCGCTCCGTCTTGGTCTGCTCGATGAGCTTCTTATGCACGGTGATGGACGCCTTCTTGAACTGCTTTTGCGCAAACAGGCGGCCTGTCGCGCGCTGCCTGACCAGCAAGACGGTGCCGTAGCTGCCCTTGCCCAAACACATCAACGGCTCAAAGTCCTCGGCCGTCATCTTACGCGCCATGCCGCTGTTCAACATGGTCGAAGTCTTGGACAGCGTGTCGATACTGAAGTCCTCTGCGTTGAGGTCAATTTCGTAGCTCTCCATCTCCGTGCGGTCACTGTCACTTTCCCGGCCGGACATGCTGGTGTTGCTTGACAGCTGCGACGTGACCCTGCTCATAGCGACACCCTTTCCTGGGGAATCCTTCATGGGTGAGTCGCTCCTTGGGCCTAGGTTCAGCGCCTCCAGCTGGGCTTTGAGGTTGCTGATGCCTCCCGCAGTGGACTGGGGTCTAAGCGCCGGGCTGCTGGTGACGCTGGGAAGTCCAGAGCGCACAGGTCCGAAGCGCGGTGTAGTGGCCAGCGAGTAGTCCGATTCCTCCCCACCAGACGTGACTGGAGTGTGAAAGCCCCGGGTGACGCTTGTTGCTTGTAGTCCTGCTTTCAGACCCTTCTTTTTCTTCTTCTTGTTCTTCTGGGCCTTCTTGAACACGGCATCGAAATCCAGTTTGTCAGGTCCCTGCTGCTTGCCTTCGGGGCCGGGCTGCACTGCGCGCTGTGGCATAGGGCTGACGATGTTGATCGGCGGGGTTCCTACGTGGAGGGGCGCTTTGGGCGGGCTCATGTCCATGGGTCCCGAAGCGAACATGTCGTCTTCGGGCATGGCAGGCTCGGGTTTTCGCGGCGCGTTGGCCGGAAGTTGGGCATCGTTCTGGTCGAATGCGAAAACCATGGTAACGGTAGTGAGGGGTAATGCGATAAAGAGTTGTCACTCTCTAAGTTGCGCCCGTATTCTGCTAAAGTCAGCATTTGCGCACGCTTCGGAGAGGAGCTCGCGCACATCCAACGCCTGTCTTGGGCAAACCAATATTACAGTCCGCCGCGAGGATTCACGGCGGAACTCCTACCCCTAGCCGGACCAGCGATGCGAAGGAGGCGTCCGTCTTGTTCAGGCCTGAGCTCAGTGCGGTGTAGGGGAAGAAGGAGCCAACTGCGGTAAGCTGAGCGGTGGGTAGGAAAGCGGTCGCGGCGAAGGAAGCAGAGCCCATAGATGGTTGTAGTGGAATATTGGGAATGGTAATGGTCGGAGCCAGGATTCGGGGCCTGGCAGTAAATCTGTCTAGTGGAAGTGTCGCGGTGTTGGGAGAAGTCGTGTTTGAAGGGGTTTTGGCAGAAAGGAACGCGATCAGCGGGAGAGGCTCAATCGCCAGCTTCTTAATTTGGTGCCTTGGCGGGCTCGCGGTGGCATGTGAATGAGCTTGCGCTTAACTGGTCATCCGCCCCAGATCCACCTCCACACAAACTCGGAGATCCACCCCGTGCTTTCATTTACATCATATTTGCATGTCTTGCTAATGTCATGCGCTTGCGTCGCTGATGCGATTGTGTTGATGTCGTTCGCTGCCACGCGCGCTTGCACTGAAACTGCGATTGCGTCTCATTCGACCAAGACAGCGCGACACTGATCCAACGCGACTCTCTTCGCAAACGAGTCTACGTGGCAAGGGTATCTATTCGCTGCTGTGAAGTAACTCCGACTGCGAAATGAAGCTACCAGCAGTAGCCCTGAGTGAGAGCTAGCGTGTTCCTCCTTTGTCAAACGTGCCTATAGAACAACAAAGCGCGACGCTTGACGAATAGGGGTGGACATGAGACGAAGCAATCTTGAGTGCTATAACTTACGCCCACGGAGGGCCTGCTTCTTCGTGAACTTATCTCGTGTGCTGCAGCTTTGAAGCTTTTCTACAAATCGTGTAGTCTATCAAATTATCTTACGCCCACAGCTCTGCTCAATAGTAAGACAGACTAATTCACGGCCCTGCCTCCTGCTAAAATATGCAACGTGTTTATCCGATGCTAAGCGGGTCCGGCTGCTGTGGGGTTGGTGTTCAGAGCAGATTCGCTACGAGGAACGAGCCTAACACAAAATGTGGGTTATGATTTTTGGGAAATACACGAGGGTTTCTGAAGCTTGTAGCCTTCTGAACGAATGGAATTCACGAGAAAACAGATCCTCTGCTTACATGTGGTTTATATTGATTTTTGATTGAGAATTTTCATCTTCACCATTACAGCCTGCTTAGCTCAGTGGTAGAGCGCGTCACTAGTAATGACGAGGTCGCCAGGTAAATACCCACATTCGAATCGCATAGAAGCCATTCTAATTCCCCTGAAGTTCAATTCTGGTAGCAGGCATGCTTAGCTTCCCTGGAAGCAACTATTGTTTTTGGTTGCCAGACATCCATTGTAGCCAACTTTTTGTTTCCTTTTCGTGGTTTCCCGCTCACTGGGCTTCGGGAACATGTCATGGATCGAACCCACGTTCTGTCATCCGATTGGGGCTAGCGCCACACTAGCTCGCGGCCCGTGCGGGAACATCAAAACTTCGGCCCACAAGCGATTGATCGTTCGACAACGTGGTATCTCACAGTAATGCAATCTCAACGCATATTTCCACCTACTACAAACAGGCGACCGTGGCATCACGGGACTCGCACTTATGATTCAGCTGCCTTCGCTACGACATCGAACACACCCATTGAATTTCAAGGTGAACAACCTAACAGACACCCGGTGGGCTTCAGAACATGTTTGAAAGCCAGTAGCCTGCAGCTAGATCTATTATCTGTTTTTACAGCTTTCAATGTCATACTCTTACAGTTTCAGTTCAAGACTCCGGGTAGAGCATTTCCTAACCGGTTCAGTCAACGTGAAAAGCTCGCGAAACGACATCTGTTCCCAAGGTTATCAACCTCTTTTTCCCTCTTCTCGCTGCCGATGACCTGTCCCCATCGCTACATCAAGCCGAGCAACGATAATTATAAACTACAACGGTAAATCTTACGCAATTCACGACCAGCCCTTCGAAAATATAGTTATGCTGACAATACGCAGATATCCTCATCTCAACTCTTGTATTGTAGACGTGTAAGCTCAAAGTGCAATTGGCTACCTATTTCCCAGCAATAGTGACTAAATCCTGATCTTCCTCCTCCTCCTCGCCGACCTCGGTAACCACTGGCATCCGTCTTCGCGCCTTCGGCTTGTCCGCCCCCTCGTATTCCTCGTCGTCACCGTCGTCCTCGATCACCACTGGCATCTGTCTTCGCGCATTCGGCTTGTCCGTCTTCTCGCCTTCTTCTTCCTTGTCACCCACCTCGCGGTGGGGACTCTTGGCAGACGGAGGCTTGCCCTTGACAAGATTGACGTTCTACCTTGCCTCGATCGATACGTTCATCGCTGTCTTCAACTTCTCCCCTCGTTCGATGGGCCAGGTTGCCAGAATGTCTTCACTGGTAGCAAGCAAGACCTCTCTCGCTATCCCCAGCTTGCTGAGATGGGGGTACTTCTCAATGTACTTCCTGGCAAAGCCTCTCAGCTCTATCCTCTCCGTTTGGTTGAAGTCCACCGGATATATCATGGAATCGGAAGGGGGCGAAGGGAAGGATGAACTCCATTTGGCCAAGGCGCGGTTTACTTCGTTCGACAGGACATCCACCTCGGCCATAACTGCTGCCTCGTCTAAACTCGTGTCTTCCGGCTCTTTGTCTGGCACAGCCAACGTATCTCCGGCGTCTCCGCGGTCCACGACGACCGTGAAATATAAGCAGGCAAGGAATGAGCTGAAGCAGGCTGGGGCAGTGACCGGACGTGTGCGAATTGCAGCAGCCAACCGACCAAGATTGTCGAGATAACTGTGCGTTGCGATGATAGAGTCGCGAGCGGAGATGAGAGTGGATATCGGGTCGACCAGCGGCCAAAGTCTGCTCGATAGATCTCCGTTCTCAGGCTTCCGCGCTGCGACGGCGCTCAGCGGAGATCCTAAAGCGTCGAGGCAGGTTATTGTGGATGTTGATAGCTGCACCCTATCTGCCACAAAGAGACGCGACAGCATGCTTGACATCATGTCTTGGGTATTGTCGGTGCTCTTGTCGCCAACCGCCTCGCTCTCTCCAGCTTGCTGTGTACGCTTCTCACGCTTTGGTGCCGCTGGCTGTAGCGCTTCGGTGTCGTCGATGCTCTTGTGGTCAATCTCTGCGTCCTCTCCTGCTTGCTGTGTACGCTTCATGCGCTTCAGTGCCGCTGACTGTGGCGCCGCTGCTGGGCGCTTTGCTGGAGGTGTTGTAGCAGTGTTCGTTACGGGCATCTCGGCGGACTGCAAGGAGGTCATTCAGCGGACGAAGAGTAGATGCAGCGATGCAAGATCATTCCCTTACGAGGTACTCGCGATACCGGCTCTTTAGCTCAGGTTTGCTCCCAGTCAGCCGTACCCGGTCCTTGAACCTAGGAATAGTGGCGTTCAACTGAACGAGAAATAGCTTCATGTTGTCCCTGGTCGCCAGGGCATCGAAGTCTGCGAGTTTCTCCTTGATGTCATTGCCGCTGCGCTCGAGCGCCTCGTTGATCTCCATATCTTCGAAGTGGAAGCAGGCTAGTGAAGCACTAAGCCAGCGAAGTGTTCCAGACGCGATACGTAATGTCTAGGCGGTGCAGCTGGGCATTCGCAAATGCGATTAACAAATGGACGCAACGCGGGTGAGGATCAGTAGAAGCGAAGGAGCGAATGGGCGCGGCGAAAATGACTGTCAGAAATAAAGCAGAAGGACAGAGTATATGGTGAGAAGCGGACGAAGATTGATAGAGAAGAAGCGAAGAGGGAGCAGATGCCGCGAGGTGAGATAGGACGTGGTGCGTCGCACCTTCCCAACCCACGCGCCAAGCAAACCTCACCTACTCAAACACTACACTCACCGCCAGTCCTCCGCAGCCTTCGTCCTCGGCTTCTCAGCGTGCCACTCTCCTCATTAACCATCAAGATCTGCGCGAGCAAGCGTCTCGGCAGCTTGACACAGTACTTATTGTCAGCGTCATATTTTCTACGCGCTATACACTGAAGACCTCCACCCCACACATCCTGTTCGCTCTTTCCAACCAGACCTCCGCAGCCTTGATTCTCATATTCTTAACGCTCGCTCTCCTCATCAACCAACGGCATCGGCACTACTAAGCCTCATAGTCCGACATCCACAGCCTTAACCCTCACCTTCTCAAGGCTCGACCGTATCCGTTTCGCGGACAGCGCCTGCGCCATCAAGCTCCCATTAGCCCGACGCAGAAGTCATCATCGGCGTTGTATTCTCCAAGCGCTGGATACCAAAGACCTCGATCTCACACATCCTATTCAGTCCATACAAACAAGCAGAACGCGATGTCTTTGCCTCTACCACCTAAGCCCCCTTCCGCCAAGATGGCCGCGCAAATGGCTGCACTGAGCGACGCGCAAAATGAGAAGCTCAAAGTTACTTCGAAACGTTCTCGCTTCTACGACAGCTCGGCTCCCAGTACAATTGCCCAACGAGAACAAACTCGCAGTAATTTCTTCGAATATTGCAAGAGTGACTACGGGATCGAAGATGAGCCTGAGATGTACAGTCGTAAGACCCTTATCGACCACGCCTGCGGCTTCCTGGAATGCATGGCGACGGTCTCGGAAGGAGTACTCCATGACAAAGTCAAGGCAAGTTTTATTCAAATCCCCATGGTAAAAAGATACTAACACCTCCTAGGTGGGTACATTACATCAATACAAGTATGCGCTTCGGTTTTGGATTGATTGATACACGCTCGACTTCGATTCGATTCAGACGGAATACAATTGCCGAGTATTAAGGCATATCCACATGGTAGTCGTGGAACAAGACTTGCCGACAGGAAGCAGGGAGAAGAACGAGCTAGGCGAATTCGAACTCGGATTGATGTACATGGAGGTCAAGGCCCTTCAGGAGGGGGTGCTCCATACGAAGCAACACTACCTCGCGTGGGTCGTTGCCTGTATTACCGGGGCCCGACCCGGGGCCTTCACAGTCGGAACGGGCTATCGCAAAGGCGCCCTGCTAGGTGCTGCCATGAGCCACACCACGCCCGCGCGCGCCTTTTGCCATACACTACGCTGGGCTGACATCAAGTTTGAGAAGTTCGAACAGGAATACTGCTGTATTCTGACGTTCCGCTTTTTGAGAGGAAGCCACGACAAGTATAAACCGGGTAACTTGGACGGGTCAAGGGAGTTCTTTTTCGCGCCGAAGCAAGAACGCCTACATCTCGACCTCAGTGCGCTCTTATTTGGTGAAGGTAAGGCGTGGATATTCGGGAATCAAACTCATACACTAACATCCCATAGCCTATACCCGAGGGTTATTTGTCGACCCGTTGGACGTTCTCCTCAGCGACACGTCCCCTCGTTTCCCCGCGATCAGATCGGAAGTGGCAACACAGGCTGTGTTCATTGCGGCGAACAGGAAATGTGAGCTTATTCCCAGTCAAGAGATGCGATCCAGTGCACTCAACCGAAAGCTCCAAGAATTTTGCTTGTCGGTCGGTATTCTCTGCTATGTGTCTATGTATTCGTTCAGAAGGCAGGCAGCTCAGAAAGCAAAGAGGAACCACTCTACCGAGGACGCTATGGCACTGCTCGACCACGCCCCAAACAACCCAAATACCATGCGCCACTACGACCAGCACGGATTTGGCCGACGAGATGTCACTTCGATCAGACTGGGGGGTGCAGCACTCACGGACTCATCGATTCGAAAGTTTTTCTCCCCGTCCAACAGGCTCGTAAGTACATGCTCTTTCCAGTTGCTCCTGCCTACCCACGAGAACCCTCTCGCACACACAAGATGTTTACTAATCTTGCGGAACTGCAGTGGGTCAAGGATTCATCGTCAGGATCACCAGTGAGGCCACTAAAAGCAGAGATGTACGCTCGCGCACGCCAGATTATGAAATTAGACCCGCAATACAAGGAACTCGAGGCCGGACTGCACGATATCCTGATGAAAGCCCACACTAAGCTCCAAGAATCCAATCTCCTCTCGCCCGATGATAATTACTGTATCACGGACCGTAACATCGGAAGGTATAAGGCGCTGATGATGGGTATCGCGGAGCCGGCATTCATGGAGATTAGGAAAGAGCTGGACGAGTACTTGGCGCAGCGGAAATCTGCCTGCGTGGCAGTTACAGAACGCACCAAGGAAGAGCTTCGCAAGAGCATCGAGGGTACGTCGGCGGAGAGGGATAGGATGGGGCAGTACGTGAACGAGATGGACATTAGAGTAGCAGATGATGACGAGTACGTGGAAGGCGAAGTACTCGATGACAGAAGGGATGAGCCTGAAGCCTGGAAGAGGTTCACCGAGGGTCAGATGCTCATCGCGGGCGCAGACGATGACTTCGAGGGAAGCTTTGAAGACTGGAACACGTTTATCAGATGCTGGGGGGACAAGACCGACAAGCCCATCTATGGGACGGATGACTTGCGATGCTTTCGATGCGCTGCTGAACCCACTATCTCGCAAGGTTAGTCCACTTTCCTATCCACGCATCATGTAGACTAACCCAGTTTAGCTGCGAAAGACAAGATCTGGTTGAAGCGTCACCTCCACTCTCACATGAAGGGCAACACCCACTCCCGAAGAGAACAAGTCAAGCGCGCATTCAAGATAGATCTCGCAAATGCCAAAGGAGGAAGGGTCATGTGCCCGTTATGTCAGAAACCAACCCACAAGGACCAGAGAAGGTTCATGGACCACGTTCAAGCAATGCACAGCGAGCAACTGTGGGTCCCGGATAGCCTGGAAGTGGAAGAGGATTAGCAGCTGACGGCCGCATGAATACGGGCTTAGAAGGCGACGGATTTCACAATGCAGTTAGAGTTGATTTGCTCTCCTATAGTCCCAATTCGTTCATGTTTGTGCATCTCCTCATGATCGTCCTCGCGACGCTCAACTATAACAAGCATTAGGGGTGTCATTAGACTTCAAGCTACACGGGACAAAACACAAATGTATTGGAAGTTGCGACACCATTCTATGCAAGACACCAGCTACCTCGCTGGCGCTGGGTGAGTCGAGTAGACTGTAACAAGCCAAGCTGTCGTCGATGGGTGTGCGCGTTCTAACACTCTGCATTTTGACAAAGAGAATTTTGGTGGCTATGATGTGAACCTTCGGCGTTGACGATACTTCCTTATTAGAGAATCTGATTTAATGGGAACATGCGGATCTTAGAAGTTGTCAATCGCTCACCTGCTTCGCCTCACGGCAGTACTATCGGATAATGCAGACGAATCTACTCAAACAGGCCAAGACGAAGATAAGTCAAATACTGAAAGATGGGCAAGGACGCCGCTACGTGCCAAAGGTGGCTAAGACCTAGCCACTGCAATATATCCAGAATTCATCTGAACCAAAGTACATCACACACGCATGTAAGTCAGAAGAGAGAACTTGCAGTTGGTGTATTGAGTCCAATAGTACTTAGTGCCAGCTGCCTTCCATGAAGGTCTCTCCAGTATCAACCCCAGAATCACCCAGCACTGCCCAGCCCTGATTCCTAGAACGCATAAACCCTAAGGGCTCTAAGCTCTCGGTAAATTGTTCGGTAGACTTCCTGGACTGTCTCGGACTCGTCCCTTTTGTATGCCGCCATGAACGAAACCACATCCCAGTCTAATATGTCCATGCCTTGGAATTGCTTCCCTTCGATGGTGTACGCATCGCGGTACTCGGGAACATGAGTGACATTGGAGATCGAGGTATAGAGGACGACGAGAGGTGCATCGGTGGCGGTCCCTCTGATAGCCCGTTCGCGGTCATCAGAGAAGAGGAAGCGCACGTAAACATCCTGGCCGACTTTCTCAATGGAGTTCTCAGTGTCGCGGATGACCATCGGGTGGTTTAGGTGAGTCAGATGAAAGTCCTCAACGTCGAGAGCGGGAAGCTTGGGGGTGTCACGGCTGTCCTGGTGGAAGTACAAGGTCCCTACGTGCATCGCATGATCGTCGACTTGATAGTTGAAGGTGTTCGTGTTGTCGTCATCGAGCTCGTCGGCTGGTAATGCACAGATCAGTCTGTACGAGCACCCTATACAAAAAAAAGCTGAATAGGTCTACAGACTACATTTAGACAGAAACTCGCAAAGTAGGTGACCCGACGTTAATGTAGACTCTAGGGTGTTTAGGTTTTTCTCAGGTTGGCGTGAGAGGGAGGGCCGTGGAGAGCTGGGACGAGAGTGTCAACCTGCGCTTCCTATTAGCATGCGCTGAGAAACTAAGGCAAGTATACTTACGGGGAGCAGAGTAGATCGACCTGGGGCCATTTCTTGACGTCTCGGGTTTGATCGGAAGAGGTGATCGACATGGAGACAATGAGGAGAAGACATCACTGGCTGGGATGTGTTGCTGTGGAGGAAGAAATGTCAATTATTAGATCTAAAGTGTAAGAGTATATAGAAGGGTAGAAGATATATAGATGCAGACAATGGAGGGAAGAGAGTGAGGAAATGGGCCTTCTTTAGCTGCTACTGAACTCCTTCTCACGAAGCTGGGTATTGCATTAGAGACCTTGTTCTATCATGGCCTATGTTGCAGTTTGTACATAGACCGTTATCCACGTGCAGAACCACTTGAACACAGCTGAACATAGGAGTGTGAAGGGCGTATAGCTGTATCGTGGGGCCCTAGCATAGCGATGTTGCCACTCGTCTCAGTTGAACGACTGTATTTTCTCTCGATACCCAAATCTCTGCATTTCCGAGATCATCTCTATCCGGCCGCATTGGGTAGATGCTGACTAGAAGAAAGGTGTGTGCTTTCGTATTCTCGCATGCGATTTGCTTACTTATTTGTGGACCGAGCGCTTGAAGTCAGCTTCTTACACCTTGTTGACTAGGATACAGAGTCAAATGAACCATAGGATGTGCGCGACGAGCCGAACACGTGGGGCTGCTCATTCTGCGAGTACAGTATTTCTGACTACTCAAAGACTAGAGACTGCCCAGTCTATCGCATGCCATCGGGACTTGCCATTCTCCACTAATCGTCAGGGTAGATCCACACAACTCTTCCCTTACGTGCTCACCAAGATCTAGGCCGAGAGTAAGATGATGTAGCCTGACACCTTGGTTCAAGACATTCATGGATGCAATGTCAATGTCGATCGAAGCAAGAATTTAGCTCCCACTCTACCAATAGAAAGGCATTAACAGCGAAGTCGCATTCTATACGAGCATTCTATAGAAGTAGTCCGATGATGTAGTCTGTTTTTATGGGATCGGCATTCGAGTTAGAGTCACGGCAGAGGCTGAAGGCGCTGCGGGTACCTAGGTGGGTGCTGGCTGCATGAAAGTGCTGGTTGCATGAGAGCCAAGATAACTAAGCAGCCCATCTTCTTTTGACCGCCTGGTACTGGCAAATGGCTTCAATCAGTGGTCAGCCAGCATGTGCGGTCAACCTTACTCCGGCCGTTTTCGGTAGCAGATTCCCCAGCCACAACCGTTTCGGGGCAAGCAGAACCTCCCCCGCAGGCCGATGTAAGACATACGATGTACTGGAGAAGAAGTTAGTAAGTGTCTGACCGGGCCAGCCCTAGTAATATAGCCATATTAACTGTCGTGTAACCTAGGACGATCTTCACTACATTGATCCCGCCAAGGTCCTTGAGATCATCACGACGACGAATCATCATAGTAGTTCTATTCTGCGAACACCATATGCCGGTTGATGCATGCACATAGTCATCCCCCAGAACACTGTCTTTGTGTCTCGACGTCCGAACACCTCCAAGCCTGATGCGATCAGCTTACCACCACCGTCATTGCCAGTCGAGAAACACCGTGTGCACCTCATGAATGCCACTCAAGCTCTGCGGTGAGTAGTCGCAGAACGCTGAGTGGGCAAAATGACAGCCAGTCATGTGGTAATAGGCTCAGGAAGGCTCTCAACCCCGAGACAGTGATCCAGTTCGGGACAGTGATAACTTTGTGTGCGTCCGAGAGGACTGGAAGAGTTGACCGGTCGAAGTCAGCGGTGATGAAGAAAGAAAGAGGACTGGGTGAGGACGAGAAAGTATAAAGGACGGCCAGAAGTCGACCTGAAAGTACTCATCACGCTTCAACATCACAACATCATTACCTTCACTACATTACCAGCCTTTCGCTCAACACCTCCTCAACCCATCAACATGCGTTTCTCCACCATCACCATTGCCGCCCTTGCTGGCCTCGCTGCCGCCGCTCCCAACGAGATCGCCAAGCGCGAGAACCAACAGATGACCAGTGCCATTCAGTTCGCTGCCCAGCAAGCCGACTGCAGCATCTTCGACTGCGCTGCTGTTGTCGGTGCCGCTTTCTGCATTGCAGCAGGTATTGCAACCGGACCCGCTGGCGTTGCCGCAGTCGTTGCCTGTGTTTCCGGTGGTGCTCCTTCGGTATTTCCTCCCATTGTCTTTCCATTTCCCACTCCCGCTGACTTGACTCAGCTCTGCGGCTGCGCTGGGTGCGTCGATGCTCTCGGCGACTTCTTGACTGAGAACGGCCTTTGCCCCGAGTAAACGACGATAGCTGACATTCTGATGCCCATTTCGGGTTGAGGAATGTACGAGGATGGAGTGTTCGGAGGGACATGGTCCATCAACATTAGACCTGCAGTGTCTGGTGTAGACTGGGATGACGGCTCTCACGAGCAACTTGCATGTATCTCCTTGGTGGTAGTTTAAACACACTCGCTCCTCAATGAAATCGCTGGCCAGCTCAAATATTGTCAGTGCCTTTGGTGCAGGAACCAGTGATGTGGTAGTAAGCCGACATTGTCACAAATCTTGCGATTAGCTCGTCTTGAATGGCCGAATGAGGGAAAAGATAAAAGATACTGAATGTTGGATGTGTATTGATCGTTTTTATGCTTTTTCATGCTTCGATAACGCGAATCTCTACATCTAATCGTCGTCCCCAGCCTACTCGCAACACCTGGTATACAGGTTTGTGCAGTGGTTTTAATCTAATGAAGTACAAAAGTTTCATTGTATGAGAACACGGTTGTGGACGTGGAATCGCTGCTTTTTTGACCTCGTCATGTCATTGATAGGCTGAACTCCGCCCTATGTTGATACAAATGTACAGACAGTCCCCTCATATGGGCGCATTATTTCTAACGGAACAGAAAGGGAAAGTCACCAATCGATTAACTTAGTTGCAGGTACCGAAAGTACCCTGGCAGCCAGCACCGCAGTGGCCGGTGGTGCTTCCGCACCAACCGTACTGGGAGCAGCAGTTTCCGAAAGAGGAGCCAGAGCATGTGAAGCCAGAGGTTCCAGCGCAGGATCCGTCAGTAGATGCCTTCTTGGTGGGCGCAGCAGCGGCCTTGCTGGTAGTAGTAGCGGCCTGCTTAGTGGCGGACGCTCCAGTGCCAGAGCAGGTACCGAAGGCAGAGTTGCAGCCAGTGGAGCAGTGGTCAGTAGTGCTTCCGCACCAGCCGTACTGGGAGCAGCAGTTACCGAAGGATGAGCCAGCGCAGGTGAAGCCAGACGCACCACCGCATGAGCCATCGGTGGAGACCTTGCCAGCAGCAGAGGCGACGGGAGCCTTGGAGGTAGTAGCCTTGGTAGGAGTAGCAGCCTTAGTGGTGGTGGTGGTAGGGGCAACACCGTTGCTGCCGCAGTTACCGAAGCCAGATTGGCAGCCAGTTCCGCAGTAGGCCGAAGTGGTACCGCAGTATCCGGCAGCGCTGCAGCAGTTGCCGAAGGTAGATCCCAAGCAGGTGTATCCCTTGGTACCACCGCAAGTAGCATCAGGGGTAACCTGCTTGGTTCCAGTGGCAGCGGGAGCACCGGCAGAAGTGGCGGGGTTGGGCGCGTTGCCAGAGCCGGCACCACCAGCAGTGCGGTACCAGTTCTCCTTGGGGTCACCAAGGCAGTCACCAACAGTAACAGCCTTGTATCCGAGCTGAGTGAGGGTGGAGAGCATGTACTCGGTCAGGTTCATGGCAGTCTGCTCATGGATATCGTGACCAATCTCGAGCCACTGGTTGCTGGCGGCGGGACCGCTGGTGACGTTGCCCAGGAAAACATCCTTGGAGTATTGGATGAGGGTGGTGCTGTCGTGTTCGTAATCATCCTGTTCCTAGTGTCAGCAATTGAACCCTTTCAAGAGATCAAGGAAGTGCATACGGTATCAAGGTTGAAGTATGTGACGTGGTAACCGAGGTCAGCCATGTCCTTCTCGCATCCTGACTCAGCAGTGCAGCTGGAGTATGGGGGACGCATGTAGGTGGGGATCTTGCCGACGATGTTGCGAAGAGCCATCTCGTTCTTGATCATCTGGTTGTAACGGTCCTGCTGGGAAACGGCGCTCAGGTCCAAGTGAGTCCAGGTGTGAGAAGCAAGCTGGTGGCCCTCAGAGTCCATGCGCTTGAGAACACTGCTGAACTCGGGAGTGATGTCAATCTGTCCCTTGTTGATGTTGTTTCCAGTGATGAAGAAAGTAGCCTTGGCGTTGTAGGAAGCCATGACATCGAGAATGTGGCTGGTGAAGACCTTTTGTGGGCCGTCGTCGTAGGTGATGGCAACTGTGCCGGGCGTGGTGCAGCCGTAGATACCAGCGCCACCGTACTCGACATTGCCGACCTTGGTACGGGCGATGGAAGAGGTGTTGGTGCCACCTGGGGTGGCGTTCTCGGGGCAGCCAGAGCCGTGCTCGTAATCGCATCCAGGAGAGTAGCAGTAGTCATCTTCTGTGCCACAGTAGCCAGCACCTGAGCAGCACTGGCCAGCGGGGCAGTTGCCGACACCCGCACCACACTGGCGGTCGTCCTGACGGGCCACGACCTTGTTCTTGACCTGAGTCTTGGGTTGCAGAAGCTCGTTAACTCCGGTGAATCGAGCTCCAGTGCGAGAAAGTAGGTCGCGGGCCCGGAGGTCCCTTGGGTTCAAGCCAATGATGTTGGGCAGACCGGCGCCATGGGCGTTGACGAGAGGAGTGATGGCTGCAACGGCAGCGAGAGCCGCGGAGTAGTGCATGTTGTAAGAATGCGGTCGGTTCGAATTACGGAATTAAAGTTGTTCTGATAGTCGGATTAAGAGATGAGCGAGTGGATAGTGGTAGTCAACAACGACGACACACTGAAGGACCTTGGACCGGAACGAAAGACGGATCACAAGAAAGTAAGATTAGGACTTCGAACAGAAGGTACCAAGAAAAGTCATCACGGCATGCGGGTAGAATCATCTTATGAAGGGTAAGAATGATCGACGGTTAGCCAGCAATCCCCGTAAAGGCCTGGTGCTAAGGTTGACTCGCGTTACGACTAGCGCTCTCGACTCTTGCCTGCAGATGCCGGTCAGCGTAGAAAAGAAAGCTTGGTGTGCCGCGGGCCCCTGGCACTGGCAGATTCAAGCTCTCGACCCGCGGCGCCGGCTTCGCTTCGGGCGGACATGATGCGCGATTGGGAGCTTTCCTCATGGGTTGTTGGTGGCACGCGCTCCTTTGCCATGCAGGAACCGCATTGCTGTCACGTCGTGGAGCGAAAATAGAACGTGATTGTTGATCCGAGCCGTTTGAAACGTGTTTTGCTATCAGTGCCATCCGAAATGTTATTCTTGAACGCCTCTGACGTGACGGCTGTCGACCGGTAATTGCTCGAAACATCGAGTGATTCAAGCAGCCGGTCTCCACTGCCGCCTGTCACTATCCAGTTGCTTGGCGCATATCGGTTTCGCGCGGTCGCTGTTCAACACGTTGCGATGATGTTGCTGTGAGACGCTAGAAAATTATCACTTAGCTGTTGGAGGACCCCACGGGCGAGACAATGTGACGTCTTCCATCGGTCTGACGGTCTGACGGTGCCGCACTCAGTAGACGGCCCTTCAGCCATGGCGTCGAGCCACGAAAGCATCGACCTGCACTGGCGCATTGGCAACAGCTGCCGAGCACGCCCAACCGACGGTTACATCTCTTGGAGGGAGCTTGTTCGGGATAAGAGATCCACCCCGCATCACCAACAAGCCATCGTGTAAGTAGACCTTTAAGTCCGAGTCTCTGTCGCACAGCCTTGCAATTGCATGAAGATTCGGCCGCGAAAGGTAGCATGATGCGCAATTCCGCTGCGGTGGAGGATGTCTCTTCTGGCCCTTCTGGCCCAGGCACCCGCACTTCCGAGGAAAATTGGAGTCGAGTGGGCTTTCCGATGGCCAAGATGAGCCAATCACGTGCGCCGTCAAGCGAGGCCCATCTAAGCGCTCCCACCCTCAGCACTATACAGCATGCTTGCTTCCGCCAACACACGTCTCGATTTATCAATACTCATCACGAACTACTACTGCTTACCGGCGCAGAAATTTTATGCCACATGATGGTGGCGTGCAGCACGCAACCACTGTAGCAAGCCGCGCAGGATACAGAAACTCTTGCGACGATGCAATTGGATTCAAGGGGCACGGGAAGACCTCGTATCCCTCTTCGTTTTCATGCAGCTAACCACTCGCACGTCTGATTCAGGCAGCAACTCCAAAACCTCCACTCCACCATGGCATGCAGAAATGGAGCTGTATATGCCTCGGGAATATCGCAAGGAATAAAGACCGAGTCTATTTTAATATATTGCTTTTCTGTTATGAGACAAGCTTTTGCTGAGATGACTAGGTTCTTCAGCCTCGTCCCGATCGCTTGACTCGACGAAACGAGATTGCGATAGACAAACCCTTCTCGTGCGGAGGAGTAAGCAACAGCACGACCGATCCTTAGCAAATCTTAGGTCTACTGCATTCAACGGCTGCGATGATCGTTTGTGGCCAGTACAGCGACAGGTAGACTACCGGTCGCGAATCGAAAACTTCCACTTCCCGACGCCGCGCGAGCTGGGATCTCAAGGATCACTTTCGACCCTTGTTCGACTCAGACAATCACTGTACTCCACCTCGGAGTTAGTAATTTACCCTGCCAAAATGGCAACAATCGGATAGCACGGTTAACTATCCGAACAGTCAATATTGACTGCCGTTTTGTATACTTTTTCTCCTCTTACGTCCGATCAAGCATCCTCAAGGGGCGGTTGAGCCAAGCAAACTATGTGGAGAAGCAAGGCGTCCACCACCCGTATCGCTTCTCTTGCTAAGCAAGAACAAGCACCCACTCCATCCCATGGCACTTGGCGCATGCCGTAGTTCCGCAAGTACTCGTATTGCAGGATGAGCATGATGGCTGTAGCTTTGGAAAGTCAACCTACATGACGCCTCAGGGGTCAGAGTCCGACTGAGCATCTGACGTGCTAGGAGCCACCTTCCTTTTCTCCCCACTAACATAGATGCTTTCTTCCGCCAGCGCACATGTCTTTCGTACGACGCCTGAACTGCTAGGCGATAGGTCGAACCAAACATTGCTCTATGCCCATAAGCAAGCATCGGTAACCTGCGCGAACGGCACACTTGGTTGTCGCACAGAGGGTTGGCACCCCGCTGCTGATCAGTCGCAGATCCTCGACGACGGGTACCTGCACGAAAAAAGCGATGATCAGTATTCCAAATGTAGATCATTGTAACCTACAGCCGAGATCGAGATGCGATGAGGAAGAAGAGAGCGGAAATCGTTTACCTGGATCCACTATGGCTGTTTGACCGACTTTTGCGCCTCCAAACAAGACTTTCATCGCAACCATCTCGCTTTAGAGCGCACATCAAGCCGAGCATGCCGGGGAGGCCTGACGAGCAATACGACAAGAAGATGCTCACCGTTTACACGTTTTGTGCCAATCATACACAGTCTCATGCGCATACTGCATCATGGACTGATACAGATGAGCTCGGTATGCTTCTCTACACCCCGAATGCTAGGCTTTGAGACCACTGAGATGGGAGAAAGATCTGGTTATCAGAACCTCCACTTTTCCGGACCTTTCTACTCCCCACAACACCGATAGCCCGGTCCAATCAGGCGAACGAGCCAACTTTACGCAGAAGCATTGGCCAACAAATTTGATAATGATGTGTGGCATAATAGGCGTCTATACAGACCATCTATGACTTATCACACATGTAGTATTTCGAATACTTGTATCCTCTGGATCATGGCAAACCGCTCTTAACATCTCCATTCATCCCCTATCATCTCCCAGTCACAACTCCATTCCTCCCCGCAATCCCATTATTCACCGCCACAGCAAACGCAGCGATATCGGAGTTCGTTGGTAACCCCTGCTTTGGCTTATCGAACGGGAAAACAACACTCTTATCCCTGACTCCTAGACTATCCACGAACAACACGTTTGGAAAGCTTTGCGGCGTGAAGGCATTCCACGTCTCGCTTATCAGGTCGTCGAAAGCGGAGGCCGCCATATTCCTAATGATATGTTAGTGTCTGAAGAAAGCTTTTTTTGTTGAAGAAAACAGGATAGAGGGGGACGAACATGATGGCTTTATCAAAGATCAACACATCCTCCGGTTGTTGTGTCAACGTCCACGAGAAGATATGAAACATATCCTTCCTGTCGCTTTGCTTCGCAACGATATTCCGGTTCTGCTTCAGCTTCGCCAGCTGGTCGCTCTTCATAGTAGCAAGATTGTTGCTATTGCTGTATTTGTCGTAGAAAGGAAAGTTGCGGCCCGAGTAAAATCCTTGGTTTGCAAAGTCGCCTAGTGTCACATCATCTGGTAACTGCGCGATTATGAGGACGGAGGCACGGTCTGTGATGAAGTCACCCAGACGGCGCGTGGAGAGATCGGTGGCGCCGGGGTTGCCGACGGTATAACGGTTGTTGATGCGCTTTAGTGTCGTGAAAAGATCGTTCCATTGCGTTTGCGTGAGGTCCTTATACTGGTTGTCTGTGTCGAGGGTATGGCTGAGATTTATGATGATGAGTTCCTGGTATTTCGCGGTGAAGTCGTTGATCTGTTGTATGATGTCTGTAAGGGACTGTCCGTTCCCACCGAGCCAGATGTCGCCGACTTGGCCGTAGTGACCGGCTACCCATTCGCCTCTTGAGAGCACCGGACGAACGTCAAAATACCGTGACCCGGCTTCGAGTTGTTGGTAAAAATCCAGATACTGGGTCTGAGTGTTGGCAAAGTGTGCGCCGATAGTGCCAGGTTTGAATGTACCCATACCAGCGTCGTGAGAGCCTGGCATGCAGATGTGTTTTAACGTTCTGTTTGCCAGCGAACCCATGCTTTGCTGCATCCAATCTGCGTAACTGCCGCTATTTGACCACCAGGTTCCTGCCTCGTCAGTGGACATGATCCAGTTTACAGCAGCATTATGCCGGAATCCTAAGTCGATCTTTGATCCTTTCGAAGTCTGCTTTGTCGACATGTCGTCCAGAGATATCGTGAGTGCATAGTCCGAGGGCTTCCTTCCGAGTACCGTGAACCTATCTGATGTTCCTTCAATGCTGTAGTATGCCTCGCCTGCATCGTCGCGGGTGTTTCCTCTCGTCCCAAACTCGACGTATACTCTTGATGCCTGGCCTTTGCGCGGTCAGTGGAGGTATTCCTTTTGATCAAGAATATACATACCAGCGTTGATTGTTGGCCATTTCCATGTATCCATTTGATACGAATGTTGGCCATTCAAGGTCCAACTGAATGGCCAACCATTCACCAGTGTCAAGTCTCCACCTATCGATGCATGATGTGTTTAGCGCCTTTCGTCCCTCTGCATAGTCGGCTTGGTGGTGACTTACCCCAACCCATGATTGATAACTCTTCCGAATCTTCTTTGCTCTTTGAGAGATTGTTACGAGCTGACTGCAGCTGTTGCTGTTGTACGTGCTCTTCGACTGCAGCGTAACCCGTAAACTCGCCTTTGGGTCCAGTTGCTCGCACAACATCCCGGGCAAGCAATATACTTAACCCCCATCCTCCCCATGACCTATAAAACGGACGCATAGCGCCTAGAAGCCCAAGGCCCTGTCCTGTCTACTAACGGCACTCTACTGGGTCGGCCCTCCCGTCATTACAGGCCTCGTGCCGCTGTCAGCCACTCGATGGTAACTATTGGCTGTTAAAGCAGGTCCCAAACCCGCGCAGGGCTGTCTATATCGCTGTAAGCGGCTGTTTGCTTCATCAAATGGGGAGAGCGGCGAATTGGTGGTGTTGTTGCTGCCACTTTCCTGATTGGGCCAGCTCTGTTGTTTCACCTTTGTACCCACCCACCAACAAGATCGCGATAACCACGAGAAGACGGTTACAAGGCACCAACTCCGCTTGACAGCATCCAATGCGATGCGCGAAAACCACCAAGGCGAGGTGACATGTGGTGCAGCGTGGCTTCGGCAGGTTGTTGGGGTTTCGGTTGCCCTGGTCGCGCATGGCAGCGCCGATACTTGCTCCAAGCGTCTGTTCCACGGCACTATCAACGGCAAGGCGCTTGAGATAGTGCGAAATCCTCGCCCAAAGTCATGCGCACACACAAGAGAGGAAGCTAGAAAGTCAGAAAGACAAGAATAGTATAGAATGGTGGAAAGCAAGAAGTGGCGATGATCGTTAGGTTTCCCACGTGCTAGACAGCCAGGCATTGTTGGTCGCAGACGCGTGCCAGCCAAGTTCTTCATTTATATCCATGAGCGCACAACGTGACGGACTACCTGTCAACAGTAATCATCCAACCGTCGTTCAGTACACTGCCGTTCGCATCGACTCCACCCCAGACTACACACGTCGCGCCGTCGACTTCGGTACCCTTGGCGATTCCGAAGTGCCCCCTCGCTCCGAGGCCTCGCTTTGGCTTTCCTGGAATCTCCTTCTCCTCTTCGCCTTTTGTGTCTACGTATCGATATATCGCCTCAGCCCATTGCGACTCATGCGTATCTCTCTTCAAACCCGCGCGTATGTTATCCTTAGTCGCTGCGGCCGTGGAGCGCTCTGGTGCGAGCTGCAGTGCCCATATGTCGTCGAGGTAATCTCCGTTCTCAGTCTCTCCGCCGACAGCTAGCAAGTAGTGTCGCCCTTGACCTGTGGTGACGCCCACGAGTCCTGCATTTGCGCGCGCCTGCGGTGCTGTAACGGTGCTACTTTCGGTGTGCTTCACTTCTTCCCAGCCCCACCCACTAGTGACTGCAGATTTAGGGGTACGAAGTCAGTATTTGTCTCACATGCACTTCGTACAGTCAGAACTTACCAGGTGTAGTCCCGCGCTCTGCATGTGTCCACACATGTGATGCATCCACGTACTCGGTCGCACCTGACGCAAATGTCTCGATTCCCTTTCCACCAAACCGATAGAGGCGACTGCCAACGAGCGCGAGGCTTGCACCTTCCCGTGGCTGACCTGATGGGGAAGGTATGTTCGTCCACGTTCGTGTCTTGACGTCGAACGCAAGTGCATCGTTGGCAAGATTGCTGCTCGAACATTCGCGCCCTCCAACCACGAAGATGGTTCCGTATGAGTTTGCTTCTGGCGGCTCGGGAACGTGTTTCGCAGGATCGGCGGGGGCTTGCGGTGCCTTCTCAACGTACGTCGTCGTCTTGGGGCCTGGGAGGTCTGAGCTCGCCGAAGCGTGGCCAATTCGCTGGCTGGGGAACAGCGTGCCCTCGGCTGGATCGAGATAGGTCCAGGTGTTTGATATCGTATCGTAAACCCAGATCCGCCCCTTCTCATCTGTTACACCGTCTCCTTCGCCACCAAACATGTAGATGCTATCCCCAATGACCGCAGCCGTGTGTCCCCTTCTCGAGTTCGGTACATCGTCCAGGCCATTGGCCGCGCGGGCTGAGTATTTGGTGTAGTCGGCGTCGAGAACACCGCTCGATGGCAGGATGACAACGTGCATGTCATTGTCTGCGAGTTTGCCAGCTTCCGTCTCTCCACCAAAGATGTATGCGCGGCCTTTGACTACCGAAACGGTGTGATGCGAGCGAGGGAGTGGGACGGAGGATATGCGCGTGAGGTTTGCCTTGATCGGCAATGTCGGATGAGTTATGCCCTTGACGAGAGCTACACCGGCCTCCAGGAGGTTCTCGGCTGCGTAAAGCACACCGGCTGCTCCGGCTTCCATCGTTACTGAGGAAAGAGTTGTGTTTGCGTAATGAGGGGTGTGGAGTTGTGATAGGCAATGTGAGAAGCGAATATGTCAGAAGTTCAGCTAATACGAGTGACAAGTGCAGTATGATTGAGAGGAGGGATGTTGCATTGCGTGGTAGCTGTGAAGCTTAACACGAGGGTGACGTCATCACGCGAGACCCTTGTCGCCCTTACGCGTATCCTTCACGGCAAGCCAAACAAAAAAGAAAGCTGTCTACAGATTCAAAGCATCCGCCGTGTCTGCACATTATAGATCAATACCTTCAGACGACGATGCACTGTACCGTTGCTTCACAGTTCCAAGCACAGCCTGCGTCCTTCATACCAGCCAGTCACAACCGCTAATACACGTGTGGAAGTATTAACAACGAAGGGAATCCCATGTAATAGACAACCGCCCGTCTTCCTATCATACATTGGGTGATAGTTGATCGGATTTGACGTATCGCTCGACCTAAGAGATTGTTAGTGATGCAGCGCAACACATGTGTCATGTTGCATACCGTATCAATCGAGGCCTGCAAGAAGCTGCGCGCCTCAAGACCAACCCAAACCTTGAGCATCGAAAAATCGCCTCCACGAATCATCGACGAGCCACTTTGTGCACCAAGTTGTCGCAGTATTGGTAGAGCACTGGTTGCGTTAGCAGATGGCTAGATGCACGTTGTAATATCACTTACCCGGCAAAGAGATCCAAGTTAGGGTTCAAGCTCCTTCCGATACCTTCCAAGAGAAGGATGCTAAGAACGACATTGACAAAGTCGCCTTCAAGGCGAACATGATGCGTTCGTACCATGGAAAGAACCTCGTTGAGAATGTCTCCAATCTTGATGTTGCCGAGAGCAAAAGTACGGCTCTTGACTCCGAGCACCAGATGTTGCATGCGCAAAGCAAAAACTTCCCCGTCAAGTACTGCGTCTGGTTGTCTGCACCTCTCAACCATGAGATGACCTGCTTTGTAACCATCAAACTCGGCGACAGCCTTGAAGAGATCAAGGAAGTTGGCGCGGTTCTTCGCATTGAGCTCCGTTACAAGACCTGTGTCGATGAAAATGAGCTGTGGTCGATACCCCTCGTTGTCAATCTCCTGCAACTTCACTTTCCACTGCTTCGGGTTCTTCTTGTGTGGTCGCAGACGCTCGAGTACCTCTTCGGTAACATCAAGCGACTCTTTGGGGCCGGTCGTCCGGTCCTCCTTCTTGGCGAATATTGAGACGTCCAACTGCTCAGGCTTGTAGAAACGAACCATGATATTTCCCGGGTGTAGGTCGGCATGGATGAAATTGTCGATGAGGAGCATGGTGAGGAACGCATCTAGTCCTTCGTCTGCAATGTCCTTTTGGAACACTCCGCCTCCATTTTGTAGAAAGTCTTCCATGGGGATGCCTTGGGCGAACTCCTCGATAAGGACATTGCGCGTGGTGTAGTCAGTGTAAGGGTACGGGAACCAGGCTGTCGTCCGGTCCTTGAAGTTACGTCGGAAGAGCGTGAGATTCGCGGCTTCGATGCGCAGATCCAGTTGCAGCCTCATCATCTCGCCAAATTGTTCCACTTCGTCGGGAAATGACAGCCACTCCATCGTGGGTATAGCGTTGATGACAGCCGCGAAGAAGCCCATGATGCGCAAGTCTCTCCGGACAACCTTCTCAATGTTGGGGTGCAGAACCTTGATGGCAACATGGCTAGATGGTACCCTCGAGGGTGAGCTCTTGAGCGTTACGTCGACATTCTTCTTGATCCGCCGCGCCAGATTGAGTTCTTCTCGATCGATGCTGTTGTCCTCCAGGGTCGCAAGGTGCGGCTTCAGCTTCGCCTTGTATACCTGTGCTATTGCGCCAACGCCCAATGGCTTCTCGTCGAACTCCTCGAAGATGTCGTCAAAGCTCTGTCCGTCAAAAGCCGCCTCGATCGTTCGCTTCGTGACTTGTAATGTGTGCGCCGGGGCGTTGGAGTGGAGGGTCGACATGATTGAACACATCTCGGTTGGAAAGACATCTGTTCGGGAGGCAGCCCATTGTCCGAGCTATCATAGAGTCAGTCTACTTGATATCTTCTGAGTCTAACGTGACGGCACGCACCTTGATGAAGGCGGCACCAGCCCTCTCCATAGAGCCAACCAAGAAGCCATACCACCATAATGTGCCACTCCGCTCGTTGTCTCTATCCGGCTGTCGTGAACCAAGCCATATCGCAGGTATTGTCACGATGACCGGCACGAAGATGATGATGAGGTGGAGGAAGCGGAACCCGGTGGCTATGGGCTCGATTATGTAGTCCTCGATGAAGAAATAGATGCCTCGCCTGTACTTTGTAGAGTGCCTCAGCGCATGGGGCACCTGCTCGTCGAGCTCCTTCCGCGACGCCTCCAGCATGGCCTCCTCATGCGTCTTCTCTCCATGGCCGGATTTGTCATTGGCGACGTCGACGAAGGCAAGTGGACTGAGTATCGCGCCGCCCGCAGCTCCGGCAGCTGCACCGGACCATAGTATCGTTCGACCTTTGAAGTTTGGAGTCGCAAATTGACGGCGGAAGCGGGAGGCGGCGGTGGATGGACGCGTGAAGGCGCGGGTTGCGAGTTTGGGCAGGCCTGGGCGACAGCATTGGCGACCAAAAAGGAACGCCGTCCTCATGGTACCGGGTGGTGGGCAGATGCGCGTGCGGCTTCCATAAGGCAGGTAGCAATGCGCTGCTTGACCTGGCGCCCGTCGTGACGTCGGTCGGCGTAAATTCCATGTGACGCCGATCAGGCCATCTGCTGCCCGCGGTCACTTCCGCGGCCACCCACGCCACGCTGCCCCTCTCCTCCCACCACGCCCGTCACATCGCATATCCCCCACGCCCGAGCCATGCGGTCCATTTCCAAAGTTTTGCTCCTTTCCTGCACGTGCAGTCCCGATCAGTACATTGATGGCATGTCGCACTAGTTGAGGCTACTTCCTGCCTTCACCGCAGTACCTGACGCACACGACGGGAACGGGACAGTTGTTGAAAGCAGATGATTGATATACAATTAATTACAACAGGCTAAACGGCCCCTACCTTCGCCAGTGGATATCTACGCAGTAATGAAGCCCTCGAAGCCCTTGTCCAGTGCACTTCGCGTCATTTCGCTGTACAGTGGGAACCCGCCGGCGAAGTTCAACTGCTCTCGAAGTTTGCCCGGCACGTTGTCACCCATGTACCATGACTTGGTCTGCGGGAACAGTGTCTTGTCCGAGAGCTCGGTGATCTTCTCCCGCCACTCCTTCTCTGCTTCGTGTGTGGCATCACAGTAGTTGATGCCTTGCTCTCGAAGCTTGACCATGGCATCGACGATCCAGTCTCCCTGAACCTCAACGCACGTGGGTCCGTTGGAAAACGCCGTCGGTCCCTGAGCACCGTAGAGGAAGAAGCAGTTGCTACAGTCCAGTCAGTATCTGCAGTAGTTGGATGCACTTGAGAACTTACGGGAAACCGCTCAGGCTCATACCCAGGTACGAGTAGGTGCCGTTCTTCCACTTTTCTGACAGCTCAACACCGTCGACATCCTTCAGTCCCATGTTCTTCATACCACCTGTCACTGAATCGAAGCCGGTTGCAAGGGCGATGACGTCGAACTCGTGTAGAGTACCGTCAGCCAGCACAATACCCTTTTCAGTAACCTCCTTGATCGGGTTCTTGTTCACGTCGATGACCTTGTTCTCGGGCTTATCGAGCATCTCGTAGTAGTTTTGCTCCAGACTCGGTCGCTTGGTACCAAAGGCATGCGGTGGCTCTAGAGGCGCAAGAATCTCACGCTTCTCAGGATCCGTTATCCGGGCTCGCGTCTTCTTTGCCCAGAAGTTGTAGGCTTCGCGGTTGGCTTTGTTGTCGAACAACAGATCCTTGTAGTTTGCCTGCGATCACAGTAAGTGTCTGCTGATGTAGGGGCTTCTTATCTATCGCTTACCAGCCAGAACTCGAAACCACCGTTCTCCCACATCTTCTCGTAGAACGCCTCGCGCTCCTCGGGTGAGTCATCGAAGGTGTTCTTCTCGATGTAGTCGTACTGGAAGCCAGCGAACGTTGTCAGTCTTTTCTTGAAGATTTCCTGGTATTCGCCCTGCTTCCGTCTGTCCTGCTCCTCCTTTGTGAGAGCTTTCTGTTGCATCGGAAGGCAAAGGTTGGGCGTGCGAACAAATTGGGTTATAATGGCGGCCGTCTTCGATGTCTCCTGGGCGATCTGAACACCTGTCGATCCTGTGCCAATGACGGCAACACGTTTGCCCTTGACGTCTACTCCAGATGCTGGCCAGAATGAGCTGTGGTGGATCTCGCCCTCGAACTTGTCCATTCCTGGCCAGTCGGGGAAATGACGCTTCGCCGCGAAGCCCAGAGCCAAAAGGAAATACTTGCAGCGCGCTGTCCGGCCATCTTCGGTCTTCACGACCCATTTCGAGGAGGGTTTGTCGAACTGAGCCTCGACAACTCTGGTGTTGAACGCGCAATCTTTCTTGATATCCAGCTTTCGCTCGACGTGGTCGAAATACTGTTGGAGCTCTTCCGTACCGGGGTATCTGCAGGACCAATTCCAGTCCTATCCGCCAATGTTAGTCTTCGTATGGCGATACGACAAGATTGTTACATACCTTCCAGATCTCAGGCATACTGTATTCGTAGATGGGTACCTGGGAATCGACCCGAGCTCCGGGATAGCAGTTCCAGTGCCAGATACCACCAATGTTGGAACCAGCCTCCATAATCTTGCACTTGAAGCCCTGCTGGCGGAGTTTGTGCATCAGGTAGACGCCGCCGAAACCGGCGCCTACAATCAGAACATCGGTCTCGAGCTCTTTTGCATAGTTCTCGTTATTCGGATCCGCCGCTTCGTTCGTCGCACCGATGTCTGTCCGAAAGTGGACCATTGTGGGAGGAGTGATTCTGGAATGAAGAGGAGGCTGTGAGACTGAAAAGTTACTGTCGATCCTTTGGATAGACACATCATGGGCGATATACTCTCTATATATACGTCAACGCACGACATACCCCTCCTGGGCGGATCCTGCATGACGGCCACGCTATTCGCGATCCTGCCACCGTCTCACGCCCGATAACCAGGGCGAATTGCGTTTCGCCTGTGGACGCTGCCACACTCCAGTAACGTTTCGAGACCATGTCGATCTCCTCTAGTATCCCATCCGACCGGACGCCCTAAGGGAATCAACGGAGATGTCGCGTGTGAAGGCCTGGTACTGGATGTGTCTGAATGCGGAAACACTCCGCGGCAGCGCCACGCACAGGCGATCGATACGGTTGCTCTCCGAATGTCTAGTTTGCGGGGTAGATACAGCTACCCCGGTACCCCGCATAACACCGTTCTGTCAAGGCGAACATGATGCCGACGGAAACGCCGGCTTGCCGATTCTGGTAATTCGAACAGAACAAATGTCAGTGTTGTCGGGACTCTACTCTAAGAGTGACCGTATCACTGTTCTGTCATCCATGGAGCTGCATTTGGAAACGCTTTCGACTTCAAGTCGCGTCCGAGTGCTAGCATTCACCATGCGAACACATACAGAGTCAATGACTCGTGTTCGGGGTCGCAAGCTTCAAGCGCGATTAGTATGCACTAATCTGCATCACATGGGACCAAATAAGCCCGACGATCGTATTGTCGCCTAGCCATTTCAGTGGTGTATGGGAATCTGGATGTCTCAACATGCGCAAATGCAGGGCATTCAGATGTTACCGCCCGGTCCGAAGGAAATCTGCGGAACCGCATCCCACAAAGATCGAATTTGGACACATGCACGGACTCCTGAAGCCACCCGGACTGTTTATAGGACTGGATGAAAGGAAACTCACCTGATATCCTCCTCAACGGACAAACAAACTTCTGGTACCTTCTCACACAGGTAATAGTGGTGTACAAAATGTTGTGAGCCATTTACTGACTTCGTACATCGATCTTTAGGCATGGTTTGGAAGAGTTGTACTGATCACAAAGCATGGACGTAGCTTGACGATGCATCTGCTAAGCATCGAAGAAGAGAAGACTGCCATACACCAAGAGCTTCGCCATGTTCGTCGTGGCAAGGTGCGACCCCGATCGCGTCAGTGAAGAGCTGGAGTGGAGTAGGATTTCCACTTTGTAAATGGCTTACTTGACTGTCCTGGCTACATTTCGAATGGGCTATTACGGTGTTACCCCCCCAATAGTATCTGTTCACGATTGACTCAACATGGTTGTCATGATGGATTGACCAAGTGGCAAGTGGATGTTCTGGCTAGAGCTTCTTCGTTCTTCTAATATTCGTTAAGAGACTACCATCCTGTTGCACTAACGCGGAACATAGCAAATCGATCAAGCGATCTTTACTCGAGACCATGCCAACTTTCTAACTGGAGTTCCACAAGACTTCATCCACTAAAGACGCTTTTCATCAAACCTTACTATCGCTTTGGGCATCCAACTCGTGAGGATCGTGGCGATCGTGATCTGCCAGTTCTGCGGGAATTTGCCCTTTCTCACTCACCTCATGGCATGTGCCACCCCTTGATGCATCCAAGGAAGAACTATCGGCTTCATACACCACGGATTTACCATGCGTATTCCTATACCGGCGGAACAAGAAGAAGGCCGCGAAGGCTGAAGCTAGGACGACTACCGGAACAGTGATACCTGTAGCTATCGCGACTTTCCGAGAGGTGTTCTTAGGAGCAGGCGTCGACTCAGGCGATTTAGTGGGCTCAGATGATGAGACAGGTGTTGTCGAGGTGGGAGTTGAGAACGCCGATTGCAGCGTGGATGCTGGAGAAGCAGAAGATGATGATGGCAATGATGTTGTTGCTGGTACCGATGTTGTAGCGGCTATCGCCATGTCAGCTCGTCGCTTTCTCATCCCAGAACAACGGACTACTGACCTTCGATCTCAGCCAACTTAGAACCGCCGATATCACAGTAGCTACTAAAGACTTCCAGCGCCGTCGTATTCTGCGAAGGGTCGTCTGGACACTGGGTCATGACATGAGCTCCTATCATGCTGGAGAACTTGGCCGAGCTCTCGTAGCAGACTGTAAGACGGAAATCACGAGGTCAGCGCATGTCGCAGACGCAAGTCTTGTTCCATAGTGTCAACTTACAGCAAGTAAACGACTGGTATGAGCCGCCATCCCCACACCCCCATTTCATATTACGCACGATAGTCGACAACTCGAACTCGGCACATGTTGCGAGAAGCTTGTATTCTTCAATCTGATCAATGAAGATACTCGTAGGACCACTAGCGCCTGCTACGCTAAGCAGGGCTAGGAGAAGAGCAAGAGCAAGAGCGGGAAAGCCTCGGCTGCCAAACATCTTGGAGTATGCTAGCGTATCACACTGGGGAGGTAAATCGATACAAGCCTTCTTTTTTCACAGCGGGAAGGCTAAGGGAAGAGTTGTGGAGAAAGCTGGGTTGGCAGCGGACCGGCGTATTTTGTACGCAGGGCGTTTTCGCACATGTCGCAAATTACCCCAGCCTTCCTTCGCTGGAAATGGATGTCTGGATGTGATAGCACGGGCATGTGTATGCACATACTTGAACCCGAGACGGCTGAACTCTGATTGGACGCCCACGTACGCATAAATAGACTTTCACCTCAACACACCGGCAAGGCTGAGGAATTGTGCAGCAGCAACAACGCCGAACGAGAAATGATCGGGGTCTGATAGTGACGGGTGAGAACATGGCGTTCTCTTCGGTGCCTGCCATTGACTGAATCCGGCGGGTGCGTCGCCATTTATCTCTAGAGTTTCGATCGGGCCAATAGGGGCGGCCTTTGGGGCGGCCCAGCTGCATGCACAGCGTCCGTGGGTACACTCCCGCAGCTGTCACAGACAGCCACCACAATCAAGGCTAGCTCACCCGTAAACTTTCGATGCGATAAAATTAGCTGGTAATTTGAGGTGATGCCACGGCGAACGTGGCTGGCAAGGCTGGCCCCATATGTCTCCAAACCATCAACACAGGCGCATTCAACTGTATTCGGCCCCTCGCAAGGTTGACCTGGATGGCCACCATGGCATATATAGTCTTTGGCATGCAAAGACTAAATTACTCACCAATTACTACCCACATCTGTTTATAAATCGTATACATCTACGCACCACCAACTTTCACGATGCGCAGCCTTATGGCTATCACTTCCTTGCTGGGGCTATCGACAACGGTAGTCAACGGTTTGGTACCAACTCGCAGGCAAGCTTCAACTTCATTCGCAGGAAGTAATGAGTACTTTCTTCATGCCCTTTCTGCATCCGAGCAGAAGGAGTATGTTGAAACTCTTGCTGGATGGGGCGCCAAGGTCCTGAGGCTGTGGGGTAAGTAGCATTTGAACAGTTATGAACACCTTTGGAATAATTCTGCATCCTCTTAGCAGTGGACTTGAGGGGATATCTGCAGTACTGACAATCGTTGTGCAGCGACGAACGTTGCTACAGGGTGCTTGAAGGGCAGTACTATCGAGAATGACGTGCCAGCTTTCGAAGCGACGGTTGGTGTGTACGATACCACCGTTCTAGATAAGCTCGACGACACTCTCAAACTACTGCACGACAACGGTATGAAGGCAATCATATCTCCCCACAACGCCAATACACTGGGCGGTAGCGCAGGGTGCGATGCATACTGTCAGAAGTATGGCGACGCACCTACCTTCTACTCTTCATCCAACGCCAAAGCCGACTACGACAACAGACTCAGCGAGATGCTAAACTACCAGTCACCAAACTTTGGCAAAGCCTGGAAAGATATGGAAGAGGTCATCATGGCTTTCGACCTACAGAACGAGCCGCTGATTGGGCAAATCGACCTGTTGAACGCCAACGACCCGGACGACTGGCTGTGTGGCCGTGCTGGAGCACTGCGCAGTGCTCTTGGATCCTCCAACATCAAGGTTGCCACAGGCGGTGTCGGCGGCTCTCACTACTGCTGTAACCACGAGTTCAATACGCTGGAGAAGGCTATGCAGTGCGATGCCATCGACATCATCAGCATGCACGGATACATGAGCAAGGCGTCTGACTGGGCGTACTACATCACCGGCGATAGGGAGGTCTTGAGCGGAGCGAGGGCTGCAGGCAAGAACATCATGATGGAAGAGTGGGGCGTCTCGGTCGACTACCAGGACTCTTTCGATACGCAGGTTCAAGTGTTCAATGATGCTGGAGTTCCTTGGGTAAGCATAACAGCTGTGAATATCTGATGAAACGCATACTGACGTACATTGTAGTTGTACTGGCAGATCGTCCCTGGCTTAGACGGCTCTGAAGCTGGCGCGCCCACCAGCTGTGGTTATGATAGCTTCGAGATTGGTTTGGGTAGCTCAAAGGGCGATGTCGCCGGAGGGATTGCTGCAGCGAGCGCAGCTTCGGCAGCGCAATCTTGGGCGGGTTATTTGTGATGAAGTCAATTTGGCTCGCGAGTGTTTTCTCGGTTGCGCTTCCTTTCGTTGATGTATTTCTCCAATTTTGAAAGTGTAGGGTTCGGCAAGCGCGTGCCATTCCCTCGTGCCACTCTTTAGTTTGATCATGTTATTCATGGATACACGACCTATACCATTGGATTGAGTTGCTTACTTCATAACTAATAAACCAAATGCGTTGCTCCTTCAGAGTTGTTGCTGTTATGGCGCTGCGTGGTGGAAATTCAGGGTGCGCGTTGCACTTGCCAAAACTCCACGCACCGTCGACGGGTCGACATGACGTCACAAGACCCACTTTTCTACTGGCGCGTCTCCCACGCGTGCGCGCAGCCGGAGGTTGCGAAACCTCCTCTAGGCGCTATAGTGCTCTGTCGGTCTCGTGTACTCATCACAACAGATTACCCTAAACATCACGACTTTGCTCAACGGTCTTTGACCTCTGCTTCTCAACAGAGTAGGAAGCGGGACGGATGAGGCTCGGTATGAGTAGTGTCCAAATGTCTTTTCATATCCATTGCTGTTATATGGCGTACCCTTGCATCATGCAACGCACGGGGCGTTCGCTGTCTAGACGCCTTTGTGTAACGATTAGCGAGTGAAGGCAAACACAAATCGGCATCGAGTAATGCCAAACTGATCACTCACCTTCCACCTATCTCACGAATATCAACCACACCAAGGAAGCGCGAAGTCATATCGAACTTTAAGAAAGCATGGGCTGGCGCGACGAATGGCCCGTTGGATCGAATGGAGAAGAGTACGACGGCAAACAGATTCTGACACTGGTGCGGGACAATGCTAGTCCCTTCAGAGACGTGTGGAACGTCCAGTTGCTCATTGATGAGATTGAAGAGAAGCTCCAAGTTGAAGTAACAGATATCCCGACTATCGATAAAGGCTCCAACAACTATGTACGTGCATTATCATGGCTATTCTAGGGTCAGCTGATCTAGCCATGCGGCCCAACGCGATAGGCTCGGCGGAGACGATATCGGAACTCAATGTCATTCTAACTCAGCTCGCTTACCAATCACAGTTTACTGATTTGTGCTTAGGGATTTCACCTTCAGGTTCGCGATGGACCGGACTTGGTAGTTCGTCTAGCTCGCGGCGACGTCAATATGCCGGATTTTGATGGCTTTGTCGTCGAGCGGCAGGTCGCTGAAGTTAAATTCGAAGCCGCCACATATGATCTGTTGCGGAACGAAGCAGAAGTCCGCGCATCTCGTCTGCTCTATCACCGTGCACCGGTCCTCAAACCGAGTCCTAAAGTCCAGATACCAGCAGATCTCTCGGGTCGACGCATCTTTGTGTTCGAACGATCAGACGGCACAAACAATGTGTGGAAAGGGCTCGATGCTGAGGCAAAGGTATGAGTCATTATTCGAGGCGTTGAGATATACTAAAAGCTCTCAGATTGTTCTCCTTGATCAGCTTGCACGCATGCGTGCCGCTCTCTTCAACTATTGCCCACCCTCTGACTTTGCAGCCAAGTACCTGCATAGCCGCATCTTTGACTTCAAACCACACGCTTTCACCTTACCCGTAGCGCCTACTCGCGAATTCTGGATACACGTAATGGAGTCAAAGGTTGAAGCAACAATCAAGAACGAAGGTGACATGATTGGATGGGAAGATGATGAAGAAACTGTGGGACCTGTTGCACTAGCAGCGAAGCAGTCTCTCCTCAGAGCGATACCACATCTACTGCCGCAAGAGAACTCCGAGATCTTGTACAGGTTAGTGCTTGAGCACGGTGACTTTGGGATACACAATACTTCGATCATCACAGACGACGACCGTAAGCCCGGAGTGACGTCGCTATATGATTGGGAGACAGCATGCATCGTTCCAGCTCTACTAGCTGACCCACTTGTCGCGGCTGGTCCTGTGGATCTGATCACGAACGAGCATGCTGAGCCGGCTGTCACTAGGATACCTGGATCACCGACGGCTGCAGAACTTGAAGCATATGCCACCTGGTCGCGACATTACATCACGGTTCGTCTGAACCGAATCCTGCTTACCATGACGGTGCGCTAACACCTGGTACAATGAACAGGAGTTGTACACGCATGCGCCAGATTTCGAATTCGCGATCAAAGCGGGAAAAGATGTGCACTATCTGTGGTTTGCGTTGCGCGACTGGCATGGTGGTGAGTCTGAAAAGTTCTTCGGCGAACTTGGAGCTTGGGCAGAGGCACGATTGAAGGACATGAACATCCCGTGAGGGAATACCACCACGTCGGGGCTTTTGGTGCACAGTTCGCCATCTTTCTGAGTGGGACCAGTAGTGGATCGTGGGATATTGGTGTGGTCTGGGGGGAAAAGATATTCACTCCATGAGCGAAAATGAAGCCAAAAGCATACAACAGCTGGAGTTCGTCAGTCATTGATCAGCAACCAATGCACTGCTCAGCTCTGCTGAGCGGACGCAACGCGATGCAATCATTATTCATTGAAGCTCAGGACAATTGACGAACGTCACCGGGGTGGCAAAAGCTGTGCTCGGCGCGAAAAGAGCTCGCTTTGATCTTGTCAAGATTCATGGGTCGCATGTTCAGTCGGCGCGTGAAGCACGCCCAGGGCGCCTATAGACTAGTTTCAGTCTGTAGGCTCGGGGCGCATTGCAGGGGGCGCGTGGAACTTCTTGTGATCGTTTAACGCGTAGCCTGGACTGAGCCTTTACTGGAAGACACTGTGTGCTGTTTTTCTAGGAATTCGGAATGTTGCAGTAGTTTCGGCAGGTGCGGCCCTGGCGGGAGGTGGGGTGGCGGGGTAGCTGTCTACTATGAGTTTAGCGTGGCTACTTCTGGTTAAAACGGCGCATGGCCCCAGGGACAATCGCGCGCAGCAAACAATCTTGGGGTCGCAAGAGAACAATCTCCACTCCCACCATCACATTGAGGAGGATACTCATCATTAAGCCACATCTCATCCAGCCCCGTTCATCAGAAACACTTGTGTGAAGAGCTAGGTCTATCAGTCTGACTACGAGATGAATCCGGATACCAACAGACTCCCATGCCCCGACTGGGTCGTTGTGCTTAATTCAAACGTACAGTAAGTGTACCAGAGCTGGCACGAAAGCATCAGTTGTTGATTACCGGTTTAACAGCGTCGCAACACACCGAGCATGGTTCAAAACGTACACGCCCTTCAAATCAGAAGTGGTAGTCTATGCGGACATGTTTCCCATACCCTGTCCCGTGCTGGGAATAGGAAGCGTCGAGATTCCGACAATAAGCTCGCCCGATGCTTCAGGTGCATCCTCGCACGAAACCATCCTCCTCCACGAAGTCTTGCACGCGCCTGCAGCTATCTACAACTTTTTTGGGCAGCCTCTCTCCACAGATGGTTACACCCTTGCGTTTGGTAGTGACAACCCGAAATCTCTAGGCACTATCAAAGACCGCCAGGGCAAGGATGTCGCCTATCTTGACGCCGAGCACCCAAAGTGGGCACCCAAAGTACGCTGTGCACCAGATGGATCTACGCTCGGTCCATACGTGTTCTAGAAGAATGATGGTGCGCCAACGCTCCTAGGTGGTCATTGGAACGAAGCCGAAGAGCGCAGGTGGCAAAAGTTCAAAGCTAGAAAAGAACAACCCATAGAGACGGCCACTCCAGTCGAACAGCCTGGCGAACCAGCGTCACCGAATATCTCTTCCCCAGTGAACACAAGTAAGATTCCCTCGCGAACTGCCCCCTCAGGCTCGAACGCAAAAGACAGAGAACAACCCACTTCAGGGCGACAACAACGCGATCATCTTCTTCTTCCAAAGCCTGCATTCTCTCACAAAAAGAAACGACGGGCTCCTCAACATCGACAAAGTGCACACCGACAAGATGCTACGTCCCACAAGGCCGAGGAAACCACTGCTCCTAAGAAAAGCTATGCTTTAGAAATCCTCATTGCGATAACTGGTATCTCGGTAGCTTGGTGGGCAGTGAGTGGTGTTCGCGCTTGAGAGCTTCGTGGTGGGTCTTAGGCTGGTGGGGCGAACGCGCGCAAAAAAAAAAGATCACCACCACCATGGCGCAAAAAAGAGCAAAAACATACAACAGCGGGGATTCGCTAGTGGTCACCCACCTAACTACTAATCCGCCGGTACACTGCTTGTATATGGCTGAGCGGACGGGAAGCCTAATTCTCAGTGTCCTATGGTCGTATGTGAAGGAATAGAGTTGTTCATGGCTTATAGTGTGACTAGAACCTCATGTAACCGAAGCAGGATCAATGCGGCGATGGCAGGGATAGATGACTCTAATCCGACAAGAACAACAGAAGCTAGAAACAAACATAGTAAACGACAGTGCAGGAATCGAAGTCGACATTAATACACCCCAAGCGATCCTCTCCAACAATGGCCTTCTGACAACCTCCTACCAAAATGTCAATTTATCCGCCACCCAATCCGTTACTGCAAAGAAAACATTGTGGCGGTGGAAGAAACTCCGGTTCTTCTTGCCGAGGATATCTATAAAAGCACGGATTAGCCACTGCCGTCATCTCGCCTTCTCTCTGAGACTTACACATCGGAATCGTCAACGCACAAACAGCGACCTGCGCACTCCCGACGGCGATAAACAGGGTCTTGATTCCCCCACCACCACCTACCCCACTCCGCCGTCCAGCTTCAACGACCCAGTCGAAGCCTTTAAACGTCAGGGCGAAGGAGAATACGTTCTTGAAAACGAGGAGGCACGTGAAAGCTTCGATGGACATGCCGCCTATACACGTCAGTATCTCAAAGCATGGAATGGTCTCGGAGACTTACGATGCGCATCGACAATGTATAGCGCACTGGCGACAGCACCACACACCATACCCATAACTACGAGCGCGAAGAAGAAATCAGGCCAAAACCAGCCGTACGTTGCCGTATCTGCGCTGGTCCAACCGAAGCCATAGATACCAGCACAACCTAATATGAGTTGTGGGACCACGAGCACCATGCGGAACTCGGGTTCGTAGA